AGTAATCACTGACGAGTCGGAGAAGTCGGCTCTTTTCTTCCCATTCGCCATTAGTTCGAATTATGAACCCAATGGTATTACAGAAACTTTTTCAAGTCATTCAAGCGTCTTAAGTTATACAGTCAACATTTTTTGGCATGGGAAGAAAAAAACCGACTTCTCCGACTCGTCAGTGATGACTCATCTTTCTTCTATTCTCTGCTGTGTGATTCAAATGCCTTAGAGGGTGATAATAAAATGAGTGGTAACCATGATTGATTCCAAGGGATAAGACCAAGATTGATTCTTCTAATACAGGAATGATTGAAAGTTAGAGAATGCCATTGTGAAGTTTAAGCATGAAATCTGGCTCGCATATTGCAGAGGCTGAACTCAAAATTAGCATTTTAACGCAAGCAAGAGTTATCTATTAAATTAGGATGCCTATTTTGACCAGAAATAACTAATTTCATGACGGCGTTTTTGGTGGGTTTTCAAACGTCCTTATTTTATTTTACTGACTAGTTGATGCTTGTTGATTTATTCAATTTTCCTTTTGCAAAATTTTTTTGTAGCTCTTTCTTGAAATGTATGAAAATTTTTGAGGCACTGGATTTTGCATGGAAGAACAAACAAACATGAATCCTAAGTTTCTCGCCTCTACGTGGTGGGGGAAAGAAAAAAGGCTTCGGAAATTTTCGATTAAATCGACCAGGGAGTTCATAGTCTGTGATAAATGAATTAAGCATTGACTTGATTGCCGCCATTAGATTATAATACCAGCGATTTAAATTATGCTGAATTACTTGTAGTTATTAAGCTTTCGTACAACATACGCTCTCCCTCCGTAAACAGTCGGAACTTTTACTGGTAAATACATGCTCTATTCTATCTGACATATACGGTATGAAAAACAAAATTAAATATAATTTTAATGTATCTGAATATAGGAGAATGCTTAATTTAGAAAAAATGGGAAACGCTTCGGTGAAATACGCCTATTTCTATGAAGATGTTGTTGAGAGTACAATCGAAACTAAGAGATCTAAAGAGTTCAATAAAAACATATGAGTTTCAAGTGTTATATTTTAAACAAAAAATATAAGTGGTTAAGCGTGAAACCGATGAGATATGAATGAACTATCATGTTTTTAAGAATGCTCTTACACTACTTACAATTCTTAGACTACTTCTTATTTTGGTCATGTCCAGTTGAAAAAATTTGGTGTCATAAATAAAATAACTTTAGTTTGTTTGTCCCAAAACAGAAGAACATAAACACCTGTTCTTATTAGCTACTTCAATTTAAGTTTAAGTAGTTATGTCAAACTGGATATATCTTTGTTTTGAGGTAGGAGAGTTACCATGCTTTCCGTTTTACAAATCAATTTTTTTTTTCAGTACGTTGCTGATTTTTCTTTTTTCTCTGTATAAATGAATAGTATACAGTTTTTAGAATTGGTTATTTCTCCTTGGTTTCGTAGGGTTTGAAAAAATTCAAATATTGTTTCTGATGAAATTAAAACTAGTGTTACTACTTCTTTTCGTATATTGACTTGAATATTTTGGTTGAATTCTCTCACTGGATCTAGCTTCTAACCGAAATGAGTTGTCTTACATTTGCAGTGAATCAGTCGCTAGCTTGGTTTATTGTTCTGACCTTTCTCGAAGAGTCCGTTATTTTTCAGCCAATTTTTTATGCTTCAAGTTAAGCTCTTAGAGGGTAGTCCTTTCAGTTGTGATATGGATTCTAAAAGTTCTCTCGGTCTGAATATTTTCTGTTTTCAGACTTAATTAGACAATAATTGAGTTTTTGAACAAAAATTTGTTTTTTTTTTTTAGTTTTTTTCTCTTAGTGTGGTCGGATTATTCTGTGGTACTTTCACAGCAACCGGTTATCTTTGTTATCAATTCAGATTACTCGGCTAATTCTACGCATTTGAGGCAATTGAGATGTCAATGAAGTGGACTAGTAGTGTCTGGGTACGATTCCGAGAAGAAACTGTTCTTTTTGTAAACCATAAATCATTCTACTTAGCAGTTTTTGTCGGACTATCGCTTGCTTGCGTATTTTTTGTGGACATAATTTAAAGAGGTTAACTTTTCAGCATTCTTCGCGATATTTAAGAAAAATCATTTTGATATATTTCTGTTAGGTTGCAGATAATTGAGTGCAAGGATTTTTGCTGAATTTTTGTATGCCTGTAACTTGTCGACGTTTATGGACTTATTTTTGCAAAACCTTTTTTTATGTTTTCATTTCTTTATAGAAAGAAAGCAATAAATAGAGCTTTGTATCTTGAATTTTTTGAAATTACTACGCTTGCGTGCAGCCAGATTTATTTAATCGGAACAATATTTTTCCAGGTCTAAGAAGATTGCTTGAATCATTTGGCCAACTCCGTGTGGTTTTGCTAAAACAGTTATTTTCAATATATTTGAGTTTATGTTACTTTTTTCGATATTTGATGCTGATTGTAAGTTAAGCAGATCCGATTTGGTATGTTTCTGATTTGTATTTTTTCAATTTTATTGCTCTGCTGCCTCATTTGGTACAACACATTTTTGCTTACAATGTATCGGCTTAGTCTACTCATTTTGCGTTTAATGGTGAAAAAAGTTCGCTGTTGGGTTGACTTAAATTTCGAATTTCAAATTGTTCGCAGTTCAAAGTTTTTATCACATTCATGTTTTTCGGCTCAAGTGCTCAAGTACTATTGGCTGACTCACCACTGCATAAGTTTTGTTTCGATGATAAATCAACACTGGCAGTTGTAAGACTTATTTTTTTTATAATGAAATCGTGCAAATCGAGAGTAACGTATGAAAGTTGTGGTAGCCTCATCTTGTGTCTGCTAACTTGTCATGTTGTTTGTGTTATTTTGTAAGTGGTGATCACAGAAATTTAAAAAATCTCGTATTAATTTTTTCAGATTTTTTTTTTCGCCGGGATGGAAATTTATGTTATGCAATTCTTACATATAGTTGGCTCGAGGCTTTTTAAAAGGCTTTTTAACAATATTGAAGATTTCTGAAAATTTGCAATGTGTACGCTAAATAAGTTGCATGTTTCATCAAACGCACACGAAAGTTTACTTCACCATATTTGCTAAACTTGCGAGAGGCAAGGGTATTGCAATCGGGTACTAGACTTTTTTCCCGTGAATAGATTTGTTCACCGAATGGTCAAAATTAGAAATGGTAAATTTAGATTCAGTTCATAATGAATTCCAATTTCTTAGCGTCTCCGGTACAATTGGTCTGGAGGTAACGAATTCACCCGGAACGGCAAAAGTCCTGGGTTTGAGCCTTTTTTTGTTTGATAGGTTTCGGCCTATATTATATCGGCTTAATGGCCTCGTATTGCGTCTTTTGACAAGTCAGAAAAGTTTGTGTGTAAGTGTCTGTGTTTTTAGGTTGGGGTACTTTGTAACTTCTGATTAGTCTTAATTTTTTCGATTTCAGGCTTTTTCATTTTCCTTATTTAGGCTTAATAGGTTTCGGTCTATATTATTGCAGCTTAGTCGCCTCAGATTGTTTCATTTGACGAGCAAATAATGTTTTTTTTGTTGTTTGTGTGTTGTCAGGGTGAGGGGAACTCATGAACTCTTCATAAGTCTTGCTGATTATGATCTGATGCTAATTTCACATTCTATTGTATTGGCATGTTTCTGTTTCAAAAATGGCCTTATTCGTTTTTATAGATCTAGTTTTTTTGACATTTTCGATTTTTTTCTTGTTCTATATCGCAAAAGGTGCGAAGCTCAGCTTCGCCATTGTGTTGAAATTTGTCACTCCCCACTGCATAAATTAAGTGTGAGAAGCATAAAATATAGAGTGATTTAGACTATTGTTGGGATCAGAAACACTGCTGCACAAGCCGAGCTTAAGTGTAGCTTTCTTTTATTACGAGCCTCTTTTAAAAGCAGCAAATTTGGATCTCATGCTTGCACGTAATCAGCGATGTTGCTTTAGAAAAGTATCTACATAATTTCAAAGTCTGATGTGACACATCAACGCCAAATGGATTCAGCAAAGTTCCAAAAAGTTGCATGCTTCTAAAATAGATGTTGCGCAGAATGTCGAAGCCAAATATTTCACAGCGCCTGAGAACCGAGCCACTTGGTCGTAGCCGTGCCATAGTTGATTGGTTTAACCCAAAGAAAAATTTTTGAAATAAGATTCTGGCCTGCTTCCTCAATCTTATCCACATTACCCCGTAGTAAATTAGTCAGTAAAAAACATTCAGACCAGTTAGTCGGACTTTTGGGCTGAAACAGATTATCTGATACGACACTCGAAGTTCTTCAACGTTTTTTCAAGCAACTGTAATAGCGTAAAAACAATATTGCTCATAATTCTTTCCTATTTCGTAGGAAAAATAAAATCAACTCATAAAAAGCGACCCAATAAAGTTAACCATTTTAGTTTTTGGCTGTTTTGGTTTGAATTGAGTTTTAAGTGATTTGCTTGAAATAATTCAAATAAGCGCTTTCGTGCCTTTAAGCTTTTCAATCGAAGTGAGTTTTCTCGCTGTTTTTAAGATAACTTCTTTTTTGCACATCCTATTTCCTTTAAAAATGACAGCAAAATATTTTACTGCAGCCTTGTGACCAATTAGTCAAATAGAAGATTAAAAAACAGTTTCGCGTCTCTTTAGAACCAAATCAGGATTAAAGTTATTTCCTTATTGGAGTATTGAATGGAAAACGCTTTTTGAAAATGTCAATCAATTATTTGATGTTTCATTTGTTCTCTTTTTTTTTCCATACATTATTATTTTTGACATGCATAGTTTTTTTTAGCCTTGGTGCCAGTTTAATGAAGTTTTCAGCTCTCTTCTGTCTGAAGTTTTTAGAAGTATTTACCCTCGCCACAGTTGTTTTTCCGATTTATTTTGCAATTTTTGTGAAGATGGAATTTCCTGCCTGAGAATGAAGCATGAATAATTGATGTCTTGTTTCTACACTAGGCTGCTTCCTGTTATAGTTTTCATGATTGCAAAAGTTGCTTCATTTCAGAAGGAATGAAAAATGCACCAACTATGAAGTGAAATATCAATTATTCACGCGCCACGGGGAGTTTTCGTGAACAACTCTGTACAACAGATGAGGCTGTAACGATCGCTGTTTCCAAACCATCAATTTTGACCAGTATGCTGCAACTTTTTTTACGATCACTCTAGTAGCGTGAACCCGCCCGCTCAAAGTCTTGATTTAGACTGTCAGCTTATAGTAGCATACCAATTTTGCATACCATCCCTTGACTGTATTGTAAATCGAAGATTTAAGCGGACACTTCTCTTAAGCTATTCGCAGATGAAATGACAATTTGAACCCAGTTTTTATCAATTCTTTTCTAACTGCCACTTTCTTACTACCTTTGATGTGGCTTTGATGTAGATGCGAAATACTGTACGATGCCTGCCATGACGTTCATAACCTCAATTAGGTTTTGTGGTGTCAACTGATCCATAAGAAAAACGAGAGCACTAAGACTATTCGTCATAAAGGAGAGAAAATAATAATAAAATTCCTCAGTTCTGAGGGAAAATACAAATACATTACCTCACTTCCTTTGTGGTTTGTTTGCAATTCTTTGCGCATTTTACAACTTACCTATTTAGTTACCTTCGGCGTCAAAATAACAAACAATGGTCAATGTGTTCACAGTGACTTTTACATAATTTTGAACCAGGACTGAATTGTGAAATTTGAAGCCTTGGAATGATGAGACTGTCGGCTATTTTTTTTGCATTGGAAGTGACCAAACAGATATGCTGATATTGTTGATATCCATTTAGTCGGCTATCAGAAATCCGTTTTCTACATCACGTTGAAGCCCGAGGAAACATCACTCAGCCCATTAACTCCTAAAAGGAAGCTGCAGTGCAAATTTAATTCTGCATCATACTACTTCATTCTACTTACTTCTTGAACGCTTAATTGACCTTTTGTCTTTTTTGTTCCAATCGGTATATTTCCGATAACAAGTTTACTTGATTTGGTTATTACATTACCAAAGAGGATACTGCTGTGTTTATCTGGTTAGCTTAATTAAGTAAAGACGGAAATCTTCGGATTACCATTCGGTTTATCAGGCGGAAATTATTCCATACCACATCGGCAAGAATTATGCAACTAATACTGATTTATGACTTGCCTTTCATCTACCGCTAGCGCAAGCATACATTCTCTGGATGTGAATACTATTCCATTTCATTAAAACAGAAAAACATATTTTCTTAAATTTGCTTTTTTTGGTGAAAGATGCAACGTAGTTTGCGGTACAACGAGAACCAGTATATATACTTGGCGAACAAGGCCAAGAACGACTTCGCGCTCTCGGCATACCTGTGGAAGAAGTCGAGAGAGAGTCTTCGCTGGCAGCAGAAGTACTTCGTACTCTATCAGAACTTCCTGTTCTACTACGAGAACGATGCGAGTGTGAAGCCCATGGGATTCTTTCTGCTCGAGGGTTCCTACTGCGAGCATGTTATACCCTCGGCTAAAATCAACCCCGACAGACAGGTTAGTCGTTGTCCTCCTGACAGAAAAGTCGGAGTCGCACATAAGTTAGGCAATTTTTCCGGCTCGTTAATCGTACATTCGCTTCAGTGTTTCTGATGTTCTTAAGTTTTGTTCACTTTGTATAATTTTCACGAAAATTGTTATCTAAGTTTGTAGCTGATTTGCAAACAAATTTGTTCTATTTATGCAACCTTGTGAGTACAATAGATACACTGTGAACAGGGGCGGATTTAGGGGGGGGGGGGGGCTGAGGGATTCGACCCCCTGCCGACCCAAAGGGTCCCCCCTTTGATACTTTTTCAGAAATCCATTTTTGGCCGACCGACCCCAAAATTTTTCTAAAGGCGCCTTTGGCGCCAATATATACTAACTTTGAGGGGGAGCGCGCGCCAAAAAACGCGATTTTTTTGTCAAAATTTTTCAAAAAGTGCCCAAAAACGGCTTTTTTGACTGTTTTTTCAAAAATTTGCCTGCGGCGCAGAAAATTTAGCCAAAATAGGGGTAAAACAGTGCTTTGGGAGAGCTCGAAAAATCAATTTGGTCGACCTAAAAAAAAAGGTAGTCAAAATTTTGGAAAATTTTTTGAAAATCCGCCCCCCCTCGAGAAAATCCTAGATCCGCCCCTGACTGTGAAACTGATCTATATCTCTGGGTTGAATAGCTTGCTAGCAAAAAATACTTCAATAAAAAAGGGAATTCTTTTTACTGTCGGTACCAACCTGCCATTTGTTTTCGTTGCGGATCTTTCCGATTAATCTTTCGCCACTAAATGAGGTGAGAAAACTTGCCTGAGATTGCTTCTTAGCATCGGTCGGATTAGAAAAAGGTCATGGCTAAGACTAAGCTTTCACGGACAATTTCAAAAAATTGCTTCGGCAGTTACAAAGAAATTTTTATTTTTAACAGTCAAAAAAAGGAAATGAAGGTTTTTTCTTGCGAGACTTTAATTTTTTTCTCGTTTTTTTCTGCTCAAATTTGATTTTTCGCGGTTTGTTTTTTAGTTTCTTCAATTAGAAGTGCTCTCAAGTTTGATTTTTCGCGGTTTAACTTTTGGTTTCTTCAATTCGAAGTTCAATTCGAATTCATCAGGTGAAAGAAAGAAAGGCGATTTACTCTCTTTGAATAACAAATGCTCAAAAGGTTGCGCCAAAATGTGAATGACCTCTTTCCTTTTCAAAAAATGGATTTTATTTTTCAGAGTTCTCAGTGAAATAAACAAGTTTATCTTATCTACTGATCCAGTTTCTTTCAAATTGAGTTATTTTTGTTTCATTAAAGAATCAACAACAAAATCCTTTCGAAATTCAAAGAGCTCTTAGGCGATATATATTTTTTTATTTCGAAAATTGAATTATATTCAAAAAATATTAAATTTATTCTTTGCTGTCAAAACTCTTTTGTAATTTTCTGGCTATATTTCATATTTTGTAGATTTTTTCTGAGTTCATTGTGGTTGCATTTTTCTTTAATACTTGTTCATGAAACGGCTGACTTTCTAGGATAACTTTTTCAAATAACATGGAAAGTCTCGAATCATTGAGTACTACTTTGTTGTCATTAGCTATAAGGATAACTCTGAAACTATTTTTTTGTTTTGTCTGATACAAAGTTTTTCTGCGTCGATAATATTTGAATTATTTTCCATGTAGTCTGTTTGTTTTTTAGATGTCAGCGTTTTTTTCAGATTACTGAAAGTGGCGAGGAGCTTTGTCTTCGGGTGCTATTTAGTGTTTGCTTAACTTTTTTTCAAGCAAATCAGGTAAAAGAAAAAAGTCACTAGAATAGGTTGAGTGAAAAATCTTAAAAACTCTTTCAGTACTGATACGATTGGCATTAAAACTTTCCAAAAAGTCTGCTCAGTGTCAAGAAAAACCGACTTGAATTTTTTGCTTTTCGAGCGTGTAAAGCGAGCGTGTAATGTTTTTTAGGTAAAAATCGGTTGTCTAAACCATTGAAACTTAGTTTTTGAAGCTTCATATAGCTTTTTCTTTGCAGTAACAAATTTCAAATTAAGTTGACAAATATGCGAATTGGAAGTTGTTGTTAATTTTTTTGAGATTCCTTTTTGAAGACAACCTTCGATTGTAATTTATTTGCTCGAAAATTTAAGCTTTCGTTTTTAATTTCCAACACCAGGCACAAAAAATGCTCAAATCTGAACTACAAAATTGTGCTTAAGAGTAATGAACACAGTGAGTACTGTTATTTAGGTCATGATGATTTTTGACCTCAGGAAAAAGTCTTAAAATTAATTTGTTCACGCTCAATTTTGATTTTTGCGCGGTTTGGTTTTTGATTTCTTTTAAGTTCACTTCATTTCCATTGTTAAAAGGAAGGAAAAGCTGTTAATTTTCCCAGCGAAATAAAAATTTTACCTATTGATCCAGTTTTCTCAAATTAGGTTAATTTTATCAACAGAGGCTCAAACATGAATTGTTTATGATATTCAGAGGGCATATGTGTTTAAAAAAAACCCGCAGGTTGAACTATTTTCAAAAATCAAGTCAGTTTTTTTTCTGTTTATTTGCATTGATTAACTTTTCAATTGGCAGTTCGCAATGCTTTTTTATTCTATTATATAAATTTAGTTGGAATTGTTTGTGTTATTAGGATAGAAATTGATCTGTTTTGTTTGATTCTTCAAAGTTTGTCGAAACGGTGGTGATATTTTGCAGTCGAAACTGCAGTGAAACTGAGTTATAGGCATTGTTTTACCTTTTAGGCGAAAAAGTAGGCACTTTTTAGGCGAGACAAACACTCTGAAATGCATTCAAAAGGCTCAAAGCAGAAAGCGCGAGTTTGTTTCAGATTTTAAGAGCAATTTTACAAATCAAGGTTATAACGACTGAACAAACATTTCTTAATTTTCGATCGTAAGTCATGAGGTCGGTCTTCGATAAAAGACTTCAGAACAATTTGTTTTTGGAAAAAAAAACACTATTTTCCATGCCCACCAATTTCTGCGTCCTTAGAAGAAAAAGTGTGAGCTTTCAATTATCGTTTGAACAAATGCACAGATTTAATATGTGCTTGAGACGTTAAACATTTCAAAAACGATCAAATTAGAGGGTATTTTCTTCGATTTCGCAGCTTCGAGGTCTGAAGCGAAGTGCTGAAAATTTCATTCCCTGGTTTTCTCATGAATCCTTATTAGTCTAATCTTGCTTGAACTTAAATAACCAGACTAGTTAAGTGGAATTCAATTTTCAGATTTTCTAGCACAATAAAATTTTAACTTGTCGATGCATTTGTGTTAAATTGGGTTACTTTTATCAAAAAAAATTGCCAATCATAAATTGTTTTAGAAGTTCAAAGAGCTTTACGGGCATCTATTTTTTCTTTGAACTTCCATATTTTTTCAAAAAAAAATGAATTTTTGTTTTTTTTCTGTAGTTTTTTTCTTGTTGACTTGCGTGCATTGACTCATTTTCAACTGTATGTTGGCCATGTTTACTTAAATCAGTTTAAAAATTTTTTTCTGTTCTTCGTATGTCATTTGGATAGTGTCTGATTATTTTTCTGTAGCTATAATAGATTTAAATGAGCTGATAATTTAGATGACGTCGAATAATTTTATTTAAGATTTTCCTTGCGATCAGGAAAATGATTCTCTTTTTTGTCGCAAGGTTTTAAAATCATTTTCATTCATGTCAAAGCTATTATGTTTTGAACACCAGTGGAGTGGAACTGTGGCGTAGATTGGATTTTTTCAGTCAATTTTGACATCATCCACTTTGAGAAAAAGTCACAGTGGTTAATTTCAGGTTTGATATCAAAGCACTAAAAAGTCTTTAGATTGAGTCATACATGTTTCTTATTATTCGAACGACGTAAAGCTATTTCCAAAACGTTTCTCAGAATAGAGAAAAGCCGGTTTGATGTATTAGGCTTAAATGAAATCTGCGTGGTATGTAAATGTTTATTAGGCGCATATAAATTCTGCGGGGAGACTACATGTGTCGAACACTGAAAGTCGGGAAAAAGTTGTTATGTTTATGAAAATAGAGTTTAAATTTTTATTACTTTTTTTTCCACGCAAAATCAAGTGCCACATTTTATCCTAAAATTTATGAAAATATAGTCCACCGAAACAGATCCAAAATTTTGGTGTTTTTAGTTGTTTTGATAGCGTAAAATGAGCGAGTGTTTTTTAAAAATTGGTTATTTAAGTTGTAAAGTTTGTAGTTGTTATGCTTGCAATCAGCAAGTGGCGTTATCAAATTGGAATATTTTTTCTTTTTCGGGTTGACAGCTTGTTTAAAAACTCACTTGATAGCTTGATTTTTTAAGAAAGCGTTTTGATTTTATTGTGACCTAGAGGGAACGAGGACGCCTGGGACAGACAAGTTCTTGGGTTCAATTTGGGCTAGAACGTATTTTAAAACTAAAAATAGTCAGTTTCAAAATCTTTTTTCTTCTCTTGTTTGTTTTCTTATCGGCCTATCTGTTTAGTTGGCAAAGTTGTCACAGCAGATTTCTTTAAGTCTGTTCGGATTGCTGTGTTTTCCTCGAATTTTTTTCAAGGGTTCATTAAAATATTGATTTATTTTCTAATGTTAGAGTAAATATTTTCATATATGCGAAAATTAAACGCAAATTTATAAAGAAGAAAGTCCCAAATTTAATCGTAAACCATATGATAAATATTTAACATTACTGAAATTTTTTGTTCCGATCAGTAAAAAGGAGGAGGATTTTCGTCTTATGGTTTTTTAGCTTAAATGTTCTTTGACTCATTTTCATTTGTGAATCAAATCTGGTACAACAAGTAATCTTTAGATTGAGCTCTACATGTATCAAAGTTTTTTCAATTGTGATTCGCACGACCTAAAACTAATTCCAAAAAGTTTTCTCAGAGTAGATAAAAATCGTTTGAAATAGTAGGCATGAATGAAATATGCGAAGGATGCAAAAATTTATAAGGCTTATATGAAATCTGCGAGGGACACTTAATATTACGACCACTGAAAGTCGGGAAAAAGTTGTTATGTTCATGAAAGTATTGTTTTTTTGAAAAAATTTTTGGTTTCCACGCAAAACAAGCTACCACTTTTTATCTCCCAAAATTTCTGAAAATTTAGTCCATAGAACCAGGTCTAAAATTTTGGTTTTTTAGTTTTATTTTGAGCGCGTAAAATGAGCGGATACCTTTTCTGAAAATCGGTTTTTTAAGTTATGAAAAACTTATTTATTATGCTTGCGATGAGCAAGCATTATCAAATCGGAATAAAGTTTTTTTTCGGGTTAACAGCTTGTTGAAAAAACTCACCTGATAGCTTGATTTTTTAAAAAGGCACTTTGATTTTATTTGCATCTGCGACTCTTTTGGCCTAGAGGGAACCTAGAGGGAAGTTCTTAGTTTCAAATCGGGTTAGGGCATGTTTTCTTTAAAACTGAAAACATTCAGTTTCAATTTGTTATTTGGCCATTTGTTTGTCTTATTATCGGCCTATCTGTTTAGTCGGCTTAGTTACAACATCAGATTTCTTTAAGTCTGATTGTGGTTTTCATTGTAGTCGCTGGTACTTTTGAATTGTTTTCGGTAAGTTGTACTCTTCTACTATCCTTCAATCTGTATGTTTTTCTTTTTTGTTTGATTGTTTGGCCTGAATGATGCAAGTTTTTCTTTCAAGATGAAATTAAACACAGTTTTACGCTTTCAACGCTTCGTAGCTTTCAACTTTTCTTGAGACTTATTTGCAAGTTTAAACCCTTATTTAACTTCGGTATTTTTATTGATGGACGTTTTTGCCTGAAATTTAACATCACTCGGTACAAATTAAGTTTCTTTTATTGTTTTTTTAACAATTTTTTGACTTATTGGCTTTCGATTTCTTTTTTTATCTGCTAGCTCGCAATGTTTTTAATGTTAGGTTTATGTGGTATCTTAAGTAGGGCAACGCCTCGCTTCGTCTCTATGTTGAAGATTCATGAAAAGAATCTCTGCTAATTAATATTGGAAAAATTTTAAAAGTAATGTGTAAATAAGTTTTGGATAGTGTATTTTTTTGGATAGTGTGATTATTTATATCATTTCAAATTTTTTCTGTTTTTATTTTTGAAAGGCAGCTGTAATTAGCTAAGGCCAATGCAGAAAGCGTTCTTCTAGGTATTCTCTCACTACTTTTGAAAACCGAAATTGTATTCATTTTTAAGTAACTGCGGTCGGCATATTCTCTACTTATTGTATGGCAACCGGCTATTCTTGTTTTTTTTTTCGTAGAGAAAATGTTACTATTGAGACTCTTCTAACTTTTTTCTATCAAGTTCTTGTCTCAAACTGAGCTCTGATGGCTGCTCAAAATGCAAACCCGAGCATTGCGCTAATGAATCTCAGTTCATTCAATTCTGAAAGTTGAAGATATTTTTGCGGAGTAGAAAATATAAATTTTGATTTAAACTTTTAAACAGTCCTTTGTCTATTGGGAAAAGTCAAATGTCATGCTGTCATATAAGGTAGAACTAGCAAACAGTTGATAGATTGCCGTATCTATTGCATCATAGAATACATGTGTCTTCGGCAAAATTTTCTGCAGTGGAAATTTTAATTACCCTTGCGTTAAGCAAGAGTATTTCAACCAGACACTAGACTTTTTCCGTAAATGACTTTTTTACGGGTTCTCCAACTTAATTATCTCCTTTTTCAAGTTCGTCAAGGTGCACGTTTAAGATCTGTAGTTAATCAGCTGGTCTGGAGCTACTGAAGTAATACTGGTTCTACAGCCAAAACAATTTTTTTAAATTGATTTTTTTTCCGGTATATTGAATTCGTTGCAATTTTTGTTGGCCTGCTTTTTGGTATTTTTTTAAACTGTTTTTGCTTGATTTTTAAAGTACTCTTCTTTTCATTTTCAAGAGGGTAAAAATCGTTCATTATTTTCTGTTTTTTTTACACGCCAAAACGTTCTGTTAGATGGATTTTTTCGAAAGTTAGAAAAAGTTGCAATAATTTTTCAGTTTTTTGGATGCATGGTTTTTTCATATTTTTTTTTCATATAAAAAAAATTGAAATCACTTTAGGTTTTAGTTATTGGATTTGAGAGTTGCAATTTTGTTTTAAAGTTCGAAAAAAATCGTTACATTTCCGGGAAAATGTTTTTTTTTGAATATGGGTGTGACTTTTTCACACGAATGAATGTGGCTAGTGTCGCACGATATCCAGGAGTGTGGTTCTCTCTGGCTGAAAACTGGAAAAAAATATGAATTTTTTTATATTTTCTGTAGGGGCATCTTTTTTGTTGTCTGTTTTTGTTGTGATTCAGCTTTTTTACCGTGTTGTGTCAACTTCATATTGAATAATTTTGATAAATTGGGTTGTTTAAGAGGCTTCAGGATTTTTAAAGATTCTCTGCAAGTTTTTTTCTGTAGCAAATTAGCAAAATAGGAATCTTTTGCATTAATTTTTTAATTTTTGTTCAGTTTTTTCTTTTTTCTTTATTTTGTTCTTAGTTCATGGCAAATAACAGAAAAGGCCTATTTTATCGCCATTTTTTCCTGTAGGATATGCAGGTTGTTTGGTTGCAAGATGTTAAGCAAATTTTTTGAGTAGATTTAGTAACTTTGTACCAAAATGTTTTCTTATCATATCCATCTATCATTTGTAATGATTATTGGCTATTATTACAAGGTTATGATAAAGAAAGGAATGGAATTTGTGTAGCTCGAATTGTTCCAATATTATGTAATTGATTTAAATAATTGCAATAAGTTTTATTGATTTTTTCTAGCCTACAACAAAATTATTTCAAGTTTTTTACTTTTTCTTTGAGAGGGCCTTGAGAGGAGGAGATTGTTTTGTATGTTAGAAATGTCAATTCGAAGACATTGCCAAAATAGTTTGTCTTATGTCAATTTGGAGCGATTTTGAGAGTAATTTCGGATCTTGTTAACTTTTCCCCTTTTGCAAAATAGAGGGATTAGTTACGAGTTTTAAAGTGCGTATATGCTTAGCTGTTTATTTCTTTCCTAGGGGGATTTTCGTAACAAGGTACCACCATAGAGGGATAGTTATCACGATCCGTAATTTTTTCGGCGCGAACGAGATGCGCACATCAACTAAAAAATATTGAATACATTCGCCTTCTTTTCCCGACAGTGTGGGACAGCGGGCATCAACCTTGTCGTTTTTGAAATGAGTAGCCAGTGAAAGTGCAATTGGAAGTACAATAGGTTCTGAATGTTTTGACGAAAAGTGATTGATTTTTTTGGACATTTTTTTCAAGTTCATTTTTATTTTAATCAAATAAATTTCAACAAGTTAATAAGTTGTAGTCATTTAATGCAAAAAATTTTCCTCGTCAAAAGAAGTTTGTTAAAAATTATTTTCCACGTCAAATGTGCAGAAAATTGTTATCATAGGTGAGCAGAGGAGAATGAATTACAGTCAAAGTACTTACAAATGTGGTCCTAGAATAAAACTTGGAGTGTTTTTTATCGGCTATGGCTTAGCAATTATTTTTCATCGGCCTTGTCCGACAGACAAGTTATGTGGTATGCGGTTGTTGTCTTTAAAAACATTTTTTAAGGTCGATGAACGTAGTTCAGACTCTTATATAAGTCAGGATGATTTTATATTTCGTTTTTTTTTTAGGAAAAGGCTTAAAAAGTGATCAAGCTCAAAAATACTTTTTGAGGTTTGACTGTTGATTTCTTTTTAAGTTCAATTCTTTTCTATGTTAAAAGGAAGGCAATCGCCACTATCGAACAGCAAAACTGTAAAGGCCACCAAAAACGTGACTGACTTCTAATTTCGAAATAAGAATTTAGTTTTCAGATTTTCTAACGAAGTAAATATTTTACCAGTTAGTCTACTTGGTCCAGTTTTCTCAAATTGTGTTAATTTGATCAAAAACGTGTCAATCATAAATGTCAATCAAACGAGTCAATCTAGCAAGTCAAAGAGCTTTAAAGGCATCTATTTTTTTCTTCAAAATTCGATTTGAAGTTGAAATTTTTTCGAAAAAAAGTCATTAATTTTTCCTGTTTACTTGCGCTCATTGACTCTTTTCCAAGTGTCTGTCGGCCATGTTTTTCGTTTGGCGTTTTTTTCGTTTAAGCTTTGTTAAATCGTGTTCATGTGGCTTTGTTTCAGTTCATGTTTGCCATCAGCTTCCGAGGAGAGGGAGGTCGTCAGATCGAGTTGGCCTGTGACAATCAAGAGCAGTGCGACACTTGGGTGGCTGCTATTCAAAAGAGCAGGTGCAGGCGATATAAAGACTTCGCTTTTCGGTCTATACTACTATAAAAATTAATAAGTTGCTTCCAAGTAAGATCACTACACAAACAAATTTAGAAATAAGGAATTTTTTACAAGAACATTACTAGAGAATTTTTTACAAGAACATTACTAGAGAGAGCGCCATGAGACTAACATCTAGCCTGTTTTTAGGCATCTCAGAAAAATCATTTTACGCTTTCAGAGTTAATTAACAACGGTTGTTACTCTTTAGGTTCTGTGGGCTCTTCTTAATTTTTTTCATGGATTTGAGCTACCCCAAATAAATTTGCCATATTATTCAGATCGTAATGCTGTTTTCGAAAAGCTTAAAGCTTCGCTGGCCAAAAAAGTTTGGATTACGTAAGTAAGGGCAAGCAGGGGGGCATTTAGGAGGCGAGCAGATTGAAAGCTTTTGTGATACGTTTAATGTGTTATAATTTTTTGCGTGTATTATCAGTGATATAACTGTCTGTTGGCTGTGGTTCTGTAAAAAAATGCTGTATCCGTGCGTGTTTAGTTTCAACCTGTTGCGTATGCACAAGGAAGAATTGGAAAGGAAACACCAACACTTAGTGCATATTCTGGACACTGAGAGGGGCACTCGCAATCAGTACATGAACCAGTGCGAGGAACAGGCAGACGAAATTGCCAAGCTACGCACCGAGGTCAGATTTTTACAAATCATCTCATCTGTTTTGAGTTTTTGTTTGGGTCGCGTCACAGAAAGTGTTTTTGCCGCCCTCGAAGAAAACTCGTAATAGTCAAAAGTAGTAGCTTTTAAGCCTTTTCAGCAATGATTCGGATTCCAAGTAAATTTTAAAAAGTTGTCTTAGTTTCGAAAATAATTTTTCTGATTTTTTTCATTTTTTTTAGACTAAGCGACGCAAAATATAAGAATGGTTTTGAACTCTCAATTGAATTCCAATTGAAGTTCTTCATTTAATTTGGATATCATGTCTTCTAATTTTTGCAGATTTTTCTCTGATTCGGTTGTCCTTTGCCGAAAAAAAAATTAACAAAAAATTTTGAAATGTTTTTGAATTTTTATTTTTTTTTGTTTTCCGTTTTTTTTGTCCTATTCGGCTATCTTTGTTGTAATGGTTGTAATCTCAAAAACATGACGCCAAAACCAACACCGGTCTGTAATTTTTATCATGAATGTCACTTAAAATCTCTTGTTTGTATTTATCTTTTAAAAATGGCGCAGTTCAAAATGGTCGTGTCAATTAATTATATCAAATTAGTTGAATCCAATATTGTTACAACTGAAAATCTGGAAAGTTAAAGAGATTTAAGGGGATTAATTGTATCATAATTAGTTCAATCAAAAATTTGCATGGCTAAAGAGTAGGGTAAGTTAAACAGTTTGAGGTGATATATATTTTTTGAATGCTTCTCGAAAGTTGACTTTTTTCAAACAAAATGCAGTCGTTTTTAGTTTTCTTGAGATTTTTGACTTTTTCTGACTGTCTGCTGGCCAGATTTATGTTCAATATCAATTTATTTGTTAAAAGGGAAGCAAATTATTTTCTCCAATCACGAAAATAAAGATGGCGCAAAATTAACCAAATTTGAGCAGACAGAATCAAAGGCAATTTTTTATTTCGCTGGGAAATAAAAATTTCAAATTCTAAGTTCGAAAGTGAAAATGTATTATAGGTTCTATGAGGCCTAGTTATCTACAAGTTTGTTACTCGTTTACCTTCCAAGATGCTCGGCTGAACAAAATTTAAAAATTCAAACGCGTTTTTGTTTCAACCTGGATGAATATTAGACACCAAGTGAAGATATTAAAAGTTGTTTTGCTTTTCATCATTTTTAATATGTTGCAATTTTCTTCAAATTTCGGACACAAAATTGTACCTAAAATGGTTTTTTTTTTGGCTTTTTTCTAATTAATCAAAAATAACGCTGAAACTCAAGTTAATTGATGAGAAAGTTATTTTAAAGAAACAGCCCAACAAAGTTCTAGGGTGTAAAACTTCCAAAAATCTGTATAAGAGAAAATGTTTTTGGTTGGTAGCTAAAAAGGTCTTTTCTACTAAATAAAATTTAAATGCTTGCTTAAAAACAAATTTTAAACGTTTTACTCAAGTTTTTGGATGTTGTAGCCTTGTATAACTTTGTTGGTCAGTGTAAGAGGCTTCTTTTGATATCATTTTCTCAATAATTAGTTTGATAGTTTAAGCGTAATTCTTGATTAATTAGAAAAAAAATGATCCATGGTTGGGGTAAGTTTATGGCTGACAAATTCGAAGAAGAAATTGCACCATATTAATCTGCTCAAACTATAGCAACTTTTGTTCTTTGTACTTTCTGTCTAATCTTAACCCAATTTGAGAAAAATGCGTTTAGTTTTTCGAATTTTGTTCGTTGTGTCCGGATAATTTAAATCAGTACTGTAAATTTAAGTCAAACTTATTTGCTGAAAAATTAATTTACGCTGTCCAATAGCAAAAATGTAATGGGCTCGATAAAACTTAGTTAAAAAAGAACTTTAATTTTAAGCATTCACTTTTAAGCATTCACTGCAGAATTAAATTTATTTTTTCATTAAACCAGTTATCTCTTATTGGGTTAGTTTTATGAACAAATGTCAATCATAAAATTTTCTTGAAATTCAAAGAGCCTCTGCATTAAATATTCAAAAATTGAAATTTGTTCGAAAAAAATAATCCTGGAGCTTATTGAAAATTATATTACTCTGGCTGTTAGCTAAGTTTCTGAATTTTCAATTTAAAAGTAATTTTAAAACTGTCATATTTTGTTCGTTTGGTAATCTTTTGATTTCAACGAGGTCGAGAGTGGTAGGTTTTGTTGCACTTTTTGTTTCCAAGTGGGCACCCTTCCTCCCTTTGATGAGTCGCGCTTCACGGTTAAATGATGATTTAGTTGATGATTGTGAAGCAGCAGCTGCAAAAACTTAAGGTGAACCTGTCTAAGAACGAAATCCTGACTGAAGAAGAAACAGAGGAGCTGCGGAAAATCAAAAAGGTCAGTCGATTCGATCTTAACTTACATTTATTTTTGTGTTTGAAAGGTGCATGGCAAATTAACAAATGCCGATCGAATATTTCCTCAAAGCCAGCTCTTTAGTGTCAATAGTATACTTCCTGTTACAAATTTTTTTGTGGTCCTAAAAATATATTTTTTACAAGAAGCTATTTAGTTTGAAACTCATAAGAAGGTATATGAAAGATGGGCTAAGAGTGAATAATTGACATGCTCCTTTCGAGTAAATGTTCAACTTCGATATCTTTTTGATTTGTGTAATTTTTGGGCTGATGCTCTTTCATTGTGCGGCTCAATGGCTTTTCATGATCGAAGTTCTCGATATCTATCAGCGTCAAATCATGGAAACTAACATCAAATGCATGAGTTTTAGTCAGCGACCATGGTCTATATATTTTCATGAAATACTAGCCACAATTGTTTGGATTGGAGGCTCAAAACGTGAAAATGAAAAAATAAACAGAGAACTATTTGAAAATTTATACGAATCAGCATAAAATTATGGGCGTGTTCCCGCGCTTTTCTTGCAAATACTGGGCATTGTGGCGCTCCGGTAGTGATGGTGCCTAGCAATCATATGATTGCTGGTTCAAATCGCTCGTGCGCTGCAATTTGTAAGGTGAGCTCTTGCAAGTAAGTCATAGCTTAAAGGGCGCTGAATATATGAGCTCATGTTAACCTAAATAATTAACCTTTGGGTTAGGCCTCCAGGTTGGTTGACTAAAAAAATATATATAAATATATACTGGCTGTGAACGTTTTTTTTTATAATAAATTAAGGGTACAAAAGTTAAACTTGGGGAATAAGGGAGGTTGGAAGATTAGTTTAGACCTTTCAAAAGTTCTTTCGGCTTTCAATCATTTCCTAGATCATTTATTTAATCCAATACTCTTCAATCAAACGGCACTTTTCTTTATTGTTCATTCGGATCGCTTTAACAAAACTCTCTCCTCTCCCTCCATAGTAATGAACACTGAAAATTAGCATTCACGAATTTTGAGCCTAAAAACGACCCCCCTTGACCCCCCTTGAAGCAGGAAAAATGGGAAATGTTACAGTGATCCGAACGCTCCTCCTCGCTCTTTTAAAAAAGGCGAACGGTAAGTTGGGGAAGCTTGTTAAGTCTCCGGATCTCTTAAACTATTTTCCCCATATGGTACATAGTAAAGAATATCCACCCTAAAAATGAATAATTCAACGGATAAACCTATGGGAATTTTGTACCTAATAACGAATACCTCTTTGCAATGCCGGGGGATGGTTTAGAGATCCGAAGCCTGTGATCTCATTTCACTTCGCTCGGTGTTTGGATCTTTCTGTTATCACTTCATGTTTCTCTTTTCAGCAACTTTCCGCTAAAAGTCTGGCAAAAGTAAGTAGAGCCCGTAATCAAATCCCAGCTGGTCAATAGCTTACACAACTTTTCCGATATCAGCCACGTTTTTAGAACTAAAACTATCTGCAAATTATTTTTGGACCTGGAAATTCGTCCTTGAAGCCTTGTTTGATTGTTTTGAGTTTCAAAGATATTTATTCTGTAAATTGTGCAAAAAGTCATCCGATTTTCCTTTAGATGTAAATTGAGTTTCCGTTCACGTGGCTTCCTTATTGTGACGAAAGTCGTAAATAATGGCCCAAGTGGTTTTCTGATCTTAATGCAAAATTATTGTGCACTATTGCTTAATAAGGTCGCAGACTTGACTCCGATGATCTACTGCAAATATTCAAATCCTTTAGAATTACTTTTTCATGAAAGAAGTGGTTTTTCAAAAACTAAGCAATTTTATATTCAAAGCCGAATTAGTTATTGAATTTGATTTGTTTCAGTTTTGGTAACTTGACCTCCGAAATTGGTTTTTAAGTGAGGCTAATTTCAATCAAACACGTCTCACTCAGCTTCAGTATTTGCATTTTCAACAAAATCGTAGATTTTGAAAATGACAATAAAAGCAACTCTTCTAAATTTCTTGCTAAATTTAGGCAGTGGTTGGCTTGGCAGACAGGCCAAAATAACATTAAAATTTCAATAAGCCAAAATTTAGATTGAAAACGTAGATTGCTGGACGGAAAAATGTTCGAAACAGCGTATAGTGCTAACGTGCCAGCTTGCTGACTTCAAATTTTGGCCATAACGTATATTTTATGGGGCTTTTTAGCAGGGGCGGATCTAGGATTTTCTCTGATTTTCTGAGCTACCCAAATCACTATAAAGACCCTATTTTGACCAAGTTTTATAAATCGAATGTTTCTCAACTAATTCAGTTCGAGAATAAGGATCGAGTGTATTTCACTGTAGTATGTCAGAAGTATAGTACATAATAATTTATTGGACAATGTCTTACTATTATAAAAAAAATTATTGACCTTGATAATAGATGGCTTTGCAATTGAAACTTATTTTTTGAAGTTGCATTTGAAACAGCTTAGGAAACCTTGAAAAAGAATTCTGTCTGATCATTCAACAAAGGTTTTCAAAAATTCTCTGCGGCAAAAGCACAAAATGACAAGGGAACGGAATGTGAAACTTCAACAAAAATGTTGTTTGTCCAATAAATCTTATAAATTAGTAAGATCATTTATCCACGAGGGATAGGACCAACATACGAGCTGTACAGCTCATCACGGCGAACCGCTGTTGTGCCCCTGCTTAAGAACTACATGCAATTTTTTTTGGTTATTTTTCTGGGCTGGGTAATGTTGCCTCACCCTCAAGCAACGAGCACGGATCATGGTAGGCCTCGAACATCCGACCTTTCGATTGAGAGGCGGAGACGTAACCACTTCACCACTGCTCCCCTTATTGTAAAACTGTCTACCGACTTTCCCAATGCATATAAAATGCACTTTTTGTCTGCACATTTTTTATATACATAATAAATCATTGATTACACATAGTGTTATGACATGAGTCCACTTTTTTCAATCCAACTTGCATAAATCTGTGCTCATTTTTTTGCTGCCTAGCATTGGCAATTGAATAGCATGTGTTCACCCGCTTTATTGCTGGTTAGTTTTTTGCGAAACTCAAGAGGCACCGAAGCAGATGCGAGGCAGTGGTGTTATTAGTCACCAGGTTGGGGGATCGGTTTCGTCTCATGGCGAAAGTTTCATTTTTCAACGCATATTTTTGCATCGTTTAATTTTTGCATCGCTTATTTTAATTTAAAAAGTGAAACTGAAATTGTTTGCTGGTCCCAGGTATTATTGGGTGGCCGGTCTCGGAGAAGAATGCTTAAGAGCATAACAAGCAAAATCTGATTGTTCATTGCGATTGTTTATTGATTTGCAACGGTTGCTGAAACTCAAATATTTCAAGCACCAGCTTTATCAGGCGCTAGTTGATTACATTTTTTGTGCGATTAGAAGAATTATCTATTTACACTAGCGAGCTTGCGAGCGTAAGTGTAAGTGTATTAGTACGAGCCTTCTTTTTTTCGAATGCAACTCGCAAATAAACATTTTCATTAAAAGTGTTCACTCATTTCGTGGCACTTTGGCTGTAATCACTATCTGTTGCATAGGAAATTTCATTGCGTTTGATCTCAGCTTTATTTGTGGCTAGTGCGTGAGACTCATTGTTTCTTGGTTGCATATCGAGTCCGAGACGTAGACGATTTTTTACTAATTCGAGACTTATTTGTACTTTTTCTTATGGCACTTTATAGAGCTGCTTTTTACCGTGTTCTCGGTAGTATCTGCGAAGCGCCGCTTTGCCCTTGTGTAGAAGAGTAGAACTCAGACGTTTTTCCTTTGAGCCCATTCCTAAGCAGAATAACAGCCATGCCTTAGCGTCTGTGGGATATGGTCTGTTTAACGTCATAGCGTGGGAATAATGGGCCGCTAGTTGCAGCATTTGTTTAGTAGTTTGTTTTGCCTTTGGACCCGTTGTGCTCTTGGTCCTTTCTGCTCAATGCACCCTCCCAGTATAAGTGGAACAGTTAACATTTCTCTTTAAAGTAGTTGTTTATTTGCGATGAGGTGTGTAAAGAATCATTTGTGGGCTGGTTTTCCTCGTTTTTTTATTCATAAGTTTTTAAGAGTCAATGAACGTAGTTCAAACTCTTTCATAGGTCACAATCTCTTTATGTTTTTTGAGCCTGAACAAGTCTTAAAATTGTTCTGGCTCAAATTTACTTTTTCGTAGTTCAATTTTTGATATCTGATTGAGTTCATTTGCTTTAAGGAAGGCAAACTCCACTATCGAACATCAATCATGTAAAGGTCACGAAAACCAGGGTCGACTTCTAATTTCGAAAATGTAGTTTAATTAGTTATCATTAAAATACAAATACCCATCGAAATACAAATTTAAACCATTGATCCTGTTTTTTTTTCCAATTGGATCAATTTCACCAAACAAGTGTTAATCATAAATTGTTATAGAACTTCCAAGAGCTTTGAGGCCATATACTTTTTTCTGAAACATTCGAAGTTGAAATTTTTTCAGAAAAAACAAGCCAGTATATTTTTCAGTGTGCTTGCATTCGGTGGCGTTCCTCGTGCTGGAGGGGCCGAGTGCTTGAATTTTTTATCGGTTTATTTTCAGCCAATCAGAATTGAGTATTCAAAAATCTCAGGGAAATCGCAAAAATCTTCAAAGTAAGCAGATAAATCCAGGCCATTAGTGTTAAAGCTGACCGATTAGATAATAAGCAGATGGATTTTTAAATATTACATCAAAGGCGGTTGGGAACAAATTTAATATTTCAAGGATACCGATTCACGAATAATGGAAAAACAAAAAACAAAAATAATTATATCTGCACCTATTATATCTGCATCTTTTATATTTATTAACTGAACATTTTCTGTCTTAACATTTGACTTCGATTTTGTGAGAAAAGCAATAAACCAACAGGAACGCTTAGTGATTTTGATTGGTTGAAGTTTTTCCAGCATTCGGTCCCTCCAGCATGAGAACCCTCCCCCTTGCATTCATTGACTCTTCTTGAACTGTCTTTTCGCTATATGATGAAATAATTGAAGGTTTGTCTTGTCAATTTTGAAGATAAAATTTAATTGTAAGTAGAAAACTGAATAACACATCAAATTTACGACAACCGAACAACTTCAAACAAATTAACGACAACTGAACAGTTTCAAACAACCAGTTCAGTAACCTGCTCCAGTTTATTTGTCTATAGTTTTTCATCCTCTGACTTTGGAGTTGCTGGTTATTTACACAAGCAAAGCTCGTGTGATAGTATGAACTCTCTTTTTTCCTAATCTAAGTCGCAAATATTAGTGTTCATTTTGAAAGTATGTTCAAATATTAGTGTTCCCCAGCTATTAAGTACAGGCAATGCTAAGGATATTAATACAGACTATTATATTACAAATAGCAGTTTAACTTCAAGGTATCATGGATCTGTAGCGTAGAGGTAGGGAAGGAGACCCGCAACAACAAAAAAGAGGGTTCGAATCTGGGCAGGGTTCGAATCTGGGCAGGGTTAGATGTTTTTGATGAACTTTTTCATGTACTAATTAAAATGCGTCAGCTCTATAAATTGAGGCATGTTAGTTGGTAAGTTTCTCTTTTTTTCAAGTTGACTGGTACTGCTAATGCGTCATAATTGGCTTGCGTCACTAAGCGTTTATGTAGAGTCATAATTGGCGCGCGTCACTTAAGAATTTTTGTAGACTCAAAGTTTCACTCATTCAGTTTTTCCCACTAGCGTTATCGTTCATATTTTTGCTTGTGTATACGAAGTCCAACTTCGCCTCTGTGTTGAGTTTTATTATGCAAAGTTGACTTGAACCTATTTACTGATCAGAATGCAATTGAAGCTATTCACCAACATTGAAGGGAAAACTGGACTTGGATTTTAATTTGCCAAGTGGATTTTGGTTTTTAAATTTCCCAGCGAAATTCAAAATATCTAAAATCCATTTTTTGAATTAATTCCGTCGAAAGAACCAATCAGAAAGAGCCTTGAAATTCACGCCTTTTTGTGATTAAATGGCTGTTTTATGAAAATCGACAACTGAAAAGAACTTGAAAGAACTTAAGGAAACATCAAAGTAAATTCTTAGTTCTTCAGGCTTTATGACTTTATGTGATCGGTCAACTATAGATTTTAGTTTTGCACTTAGGTCAAAGTAAAAATAGAGGCAAGCTTTGCGTATTTTGCAATGGAGAAATTCGGTTCGTTGTTATGGCCATGTTTTTTGTTTTTTAAATCTACATAATTGGACAAAATTTGCGAAACTCCCGGCATTATTTAGTGAGATTCAATGTTCCTGTGTCTTCACTGTTTGAGTTTCATTTGCGCTTGTAGTGCCAGTGATAGTTTATTGATGTATGTTTGTGCGGGTGAGCTTTTAATTTTTAAGAGATATATTTGTATGTACACGCCTGTTCAGTACTTAGAAGTAAAATCGAGACATTTTTGTTTCGTTTTTAATAGATTCGATATTGTTCTCGGAAGGCGTTTTGTAAAATGAAGAACTCCTAATGTTGTACTGGCTCTGTTTAAGGTCCAGAGTCTGATGCGAGGCTGGCTATGTCGACGTCGCTGGATGTCGATTGTGAATGAGTATATCAAATCACCACATGCCGAAATGATGCGGATGAGGAATCGCCTGGTGTTTGCAATGGTCGCAGACGAAGAGGATTACGTGGCCAAGTTAACGATTCTCGTTTCAGTGTTCTACCGGACACTGAAGATGGCGGCGAGTAGCAAGAAGCCGCTGATATCACACGAGGATGTGAACTCGATTTTTCTGAACTGCGAGACTATCCTGTTCTTGCACCAGATCTTCAGCAAGGGACTTAATGCGAGACTGGAAGCGTGGCCTAGACTCATTTTAGGTGTCGTTTTTACATTTTTTTTTTGCTGCTCTTGGTATGTTTCTTTGCCCAGCTAAGTTTTCATGTTTGTCTTGGAGTTTTTTTTAAGAGTATTGAACCTAGTTATATTGGTCTTGCTGATTTTTTTTCAGGAAAAGTCTTAAAAGTCTCTAATAACTACAGATATGCATTCAAACATATTAATGCATTTATGAGTGCACCTAAGTATATATGTACTTTTTGAGTTCAATTGAAATTAATCTGCTGAAAATGACTTAAATAGCACTCTCCGAATACGAACGTGGAAATGGCGCGAAAAAAAAACGTGAACGATTTCTAGTTTCGAAAGTGGTTCCTGATGTTCAGGTTTCCCAGCTGAATTAAACATTTACCTATTGATCCAGTTTTCTCAAATTGGGTTAAATTTGCTAAAAGAGCAATAATCATAAATTGTTTTTCAAATTCAAAGAGTCTTACGGACATAATTTTTCAAAATTTGAATATTGGATATTTTCTACTGTTTCTTTGTTTCATTTTTCTATAAACACGTAAACTTGAATGGTTTCTTTCAGGAGACCTATTCGATATGCTGTTGCCGATGCTAAGTATCTACCAGGAGTATGTGCGCAACCACCACTACAGTCTGCAGGTATTGGCCGAGTGCAAACAGAAGAACGCCGACTTCGGACTTTTCATTCAGAGGTAGGACATAATTAGCGAATATCAATCTGACATGTTTAATTTCCAAGCTCATGTCAGTAGAAAATTAAGGAATTCGCGAAGATTCAAATTAAGTTTTCTTGACTGCAACTAATGTGGATTCCAAAACGACAAGTCTGACTGTCCAGAAAAATCAATATGAGCAAGCAGTTTCTTTCTTTAGTAAAAGAGTATAAACAATTAAGCGTAAAATACTGAAGTGATTTTCATTTATATAGGTCGTGATGATTTTTTCGAACGTTTTTTCAGAAAAAGTTTCAAAATTTGCTCACGCTCAAATTTGATTTTTTGGTGCTTGACTTATGATTGCCTTTAATGTTTAGTGCATTTATTTTGTTAAAAGGAAGGACAACACTATTACCGAGAAACAAAAATGTAAAGGTCACGATAAACGGGATCCACGTCTAGTTTCGAAAAAAGAACTTAATTTTCAGATTTCCCTGCGACAAAAAAAATGATCAAGTTTTCTCAAATTCGATTACTTTTCTCAAAAAGCTTAAAATGCTCAACATTTTTCCGGGCCACAATTTGTTTTCAGTTCGACTGGCGTTGTCTAAGCAAATTTTGTCAGCTTAGTGGCCGATTTAAGTTTTTCTGAACAATTTAGCGCTGGCGGTTTTGTTTCTCGACATTTCTCTGTTTGATCATATTTTGAGACAAACTTGTGAAATTTTTTTGACGTAGTTTTTTAAGGCATTTGGTTCTCAAATTTTTCATCGGCTTAATGACTTTCTTCTCATTTTCTGTCCGCTAGCTTACAATGTTGTGTTTGGATGGTATCGCAAATGGTTAGAAGCCCCGCGTTGCCTCTATGTACTATAATTATTTTGATAATGATGCAAATATGATTACTCTTTCTGAAAAATCTTTTGAACCTGATTATGCGGCTTTTTTAGTATCATCTTCCATTTTGCAAGTCTTATCGTGAAATTAAAACCCTAACGAGGATGATATCATCAGATTTGCTCGACAGTTTATGATCTTGGATTAACTTGAACAGATCAACAGCCCTCCTTTCCTATCATTTTTTACTTAGTTTTGTTTTGATTGTTCTCTGCACCTTTTATTTGAAAGTTTGTTTGTACGGAACTCCTTCAAAAGGGATATCTGAAGTGTATCATTTATACTTGTTTTTAGGTACGAGGAGAAACCGATCTGCGAGGGGAGGACGATTGAGCACTACTTGACAGTTCCCATGTGGCAGATCCCCCGCTACATCCAGTCTCTCTGCCAGATACTGGCCCACACACCGCACGATCACGTGGAGCGAAAGAGTCTAGAGTATGCTAAACACCAGCTGGAAACATTGTCCACGGTTCGTATCATTCCCAGCTTTCGTTTTTTTTTCACCTGGTATATGAAGCGAAATAAAAAACGAATTAAATTGAATGTGCTAGTTTTGCTCAAGGTTCTTAGCTCAAATAGATATGTTCGAAAAACGCAGAAGTGCTAGATTAATTTGACTTTCCGAGCATTAACAGTGTCACTATGAATAAATTGCTATAAGCTATCAAATAATATGGAAGTTTTAACAAATGGTGTTTTTTTATTCGCACAGACGATGCGAGACGAGGTGAGTGAGACTGAAAACATCAGACGAAATCTGGCCATCGAACGACAGATCGTGGAGGGGTGCGACATCCTACTTGACGTGCAGCAGATATTCGTCAGACAAGGTCAGTTTCTTCAATTTTGAACCGCATTCAACTAATCAAACACATGTTGGTTCTTTTCTGTTATTAGGCCCAAAATTAATAAATTGTTAATTTAGCTCTGTTTTGAAAGAAAACCACATATTCCGTCACTGGATTTAATTTGAACCAATCAGATTAGAGTATTATGATTCAATTGTCAATATGAATGAAAGGTCCGTTTTGGGTCTTAAAACAGAAAAGCCCACACACAGGTTTTTTTTTGGTTAAACCCTCAGAATTGTAAGTTTGAATCTCAGGTGTATCATTTGTACTGAATGGATAAAATAAACTCATTGAAAAGTTATTTTACAAGTAAAATTCAATTCAAGCTCATTGACTAAAAGGAAGCCAAACTACGCTTTTCTATTTGAAAAGCAAATGGCGCAAAAAATGTGAATGAAATGCAAATGGCTTTTAATTTCGAAGGTAGATTTTAGTTTTTAGATGTCGCAGCTGAAAAAAAATCATCTCTGTTTTTTAATCGGAGTCAGTGTCAGATTTTTTGTTGTTGAATTTTGTGTTTTTTTTTGTGTTATCAATTTTTTTGCCGGGGTTGGGTAATGAACGTAGTGAGTACTCTTATTTAGGTCACGGTGATTTTGTTTCTATTTTTTCTCAGAGAAACTTGTTCACGCTCAAAATTTGGTTTTTCGCGGTTTGACTTCTGATTTTTTTTAAGTTCAGTTCATTTTCTGTGTAAAAAGAAAGGCAAACTCCGCTATCGAGCAGCAAAAGTCTAAAGGTCACGAAAAAAGTGATCGACTTCTAGTTTCGAAAGTGGAATTTAATTATCAGATTTCCCAGCTTTGAAAGGTCACGAAAAACGTGTAAAATTTCTAAAGGTCACGACCAACGTGATCGACTGCTAGTTTCGGAAGTGGAATTTAATTATCAGGTTTCTCAAAAATTAAGTCAGGTTTTTTTCTACTTCCTTTATTACCGCGTTCATTACCGTTTTCCATCTGTCAGTTGGCTATGTTCGCTGTTTTTGGCTCGCATTTGTGAAGTGCACTTTACGATCTTTTTTGAAACCATAACAAAATTCATTCCCTTTTTCTTACCCTCTAACCAGAAGTAACGGTAGCAAATAATTAGTTAAACTAATAAAGGCGCACAAATAGACACAAGACACGCACTCTCACGAAATGATTAAATGTCAATGAACAAATTGAAGATACTTATTTTGGGCGGATGGTTTTTCTTAGAGAAAGTCTTTCAATTTGATCACGATTGTATAGTCTTCGGAAGTTCATTTTTTCAAAGTTTATTTCAAATTCTTTTGCTTAATGAAAAAAAAAATAACGCGAATAACCTTAAATTTCAAAAGTGGATTTAGTTTTTAAGTTAATCGGTAGAATGAAAAAAATATCTTCTGATTCAGTTTTCGTCAAAATGTCAATCATTGAACATCTATCCAGCTCAACAGCTCTAAGTAGTCAATCATGTTTTTGGCAGCTTTTGAGTTTTTTATCAGTCAAAACTTTTCCATCTGTTTGTTGTCTCTGTTTTTGGATTTTAATGTTTTTTATCTCTGCCTGTTCGTTAAAGCTGGGGAAAAGAGGGAGTTTATTTTGATTTGGGAAAAGTAAAATACCTTGTTCACATTTTTGTCATTATTTGTCATGATGCTTCTTTCTTTTCTGGCGTTGGTAAGAGTCGATGAACGTAGTTCAGACTGTTATATAGGTGGCGATGATTTTGTTATCGATTTTTTTTTTCAGGAAAAGTCTTAAAATTTGTTCAAGCTGAAAAATACTTTTTCGCGGTTTGACTTCTGATTCTTTTAAATAGTAGTGAACGTAGTGAAGTCTTAAATAGGTTTCGGCGATTTTTTTGTTTTTCTTTCAGGAATGCTCTAATGACTACAGATGTGCACTCATACATATTAATGCATTTATGAATGAACTTAGGTATTATACACTTTTTGAGTTCAATTGAAATTCATCTGCTGAAAGTTACGTAAATAGCCCTCTCCAAATATAAACGTAGAATTGGTGTGAAATAATGTGAACGATTTCCAGTTTCGAAAATGGAGTTTAATTTTTAGATTTAAGCAGATTAAAAATTTTACTCGTTGATCCAGTTTCCTCAAGTTGGGTTAATGTTATCAAAGAGCGCCAATCATAAATTGTTCTAGAAATTCAAAGACCCTAAAGGGTATTTATTTTTTTTTGAACTTCGAAAGTTGAGATTTTCTGAGCAAAGTCATTGTCTTTTTGTTTACTTGATTTCATTACTTTTTCCCAACTGTCATTTGGCTATGTTTTCAAGTTCAGTTAGTTTACTTTAATGAAAAGAAAGCAAACTCCACTATCGAACTGCCTAAGTGGAAAGGTCAGAAAAAACGTGAGCATCATCTAGTTTCGAAAGTGGAATTTAATTCTCGTGTTTTCTAGCGAAATCAATCTTTTATCTGTCGATCCAGTTTTCTCAAATTGGGTTAATTTTAACCAAAAAGTGTCCAGCTTCCTTTAACGAAAATGCCAATGGCCTAAAAAACGTGAATAATTTTAGTTAAAAGAATATTTTTATTTTCATTTTTTAAAAGTTTCATCAAGAGTTGAGTATTCTTGAAATAAAGAAAGCTTGAACGTTAGTTGTATATTTTTTTGAAATTTTGAATTTTTCTGAAAAGGAAGGTTTAAAAGAAATAAGTTTTTTTTCGTTTTTTTTTAAAACTTTTTTCATGTGCATTTTTCCAAATCTGTTCTGGTTATGTTTTATAGTACGCTTAGCTTTTGATGTGAAACTTAGATTTAACTTTTCTAAAGCTTTTTAATAGTCGATGAACGTAGTGATGGTTTTGTTTTTTTTTCAGGAAATTTTATTTTTAGCGTTGAAGAACTCTGCTATTGAAAAGCAAAAGCTTACAGGTCACAAAAAAAACGTAATTTCTTTCAAAAGTGGATTTTTGTTTTCCGAATTCCCTGCTGAATAAAATTTTCCCTATTGATCCAGTTTTCTCAAATTGAGTTAGTTTTATCAAAAAAAACTTATTTATTTTTATTAACGTTCATTGAATTGTTCTTCAAATTCAAAGAGCTTTAAGGCCATAGGTTTTTGAATTTGAATTTCGACTGTTGAAGCTTTTTTCTGTGTCCTAGCGTTCATCGACTTTTTTCCTACTGTCTGTTCGCTTTGTCGAATTTTCGGCCTTTTTTCATTATATTGAATGAAATCTAATCATTTCATTAATAAGGCCTGAAAATGGTTTTAAACTGGCCGAGACTGGCTCTACTTTTTGTTCCGAGCATTAGCATTAGCCCGTGAAATTTTTAAATGTCGTTCAAATCACGACTGAAAAAGCGTTTATATGATATATCACTAAACCCTTTCCAATGATTATTTGAGATAGCTGATTTTGCGCGGCAAAAAACTTAAACACACCCGAATCCATTTTCAAAGTTTTTTGCCGCGCAAAATCAGCTATCTCAAATAATCATTGGAAAGGGTTTAGTGATATATCATATAAACGCTTTTTCAGTCGTGATTTGAACGACATTTAAAAATTTCACGGGGTTTGAAATTTTTGGTCTAATTTCGAGCTAATTAGTAAAATAGTTAATAATTGCAATAGCTTATTTGAGCATAATTTAAACCGTGAAAGCTTAATTTCACCCAGGTGAAGGTAGTTTTTGGAGTTTTATTAGCGCAGTTTTGTGAATCAAAAACTTGAAATAATTCAAAAATTTCATTTTGAAAAAATTGTTGAAATTTTTTTCAATTTTTTTTTTCGTTTTTCTTGTCATTTTTCTTCAAAAACTGTTTTACTATTGACTTATTTTACTATGATGCTTAAATATGCCTAAGTTCTTTTTTTTGTTCAATTTTTTTTATCACAACAGCAGAAAAAAAACTACCAATTTGTGAAAACATTTTTATATTTTTTAAGACTGTGGTCGGAACATTCTGTGCTACTTGCACAGCAGCGGGCTATCCTTGTTTCATTTGCGAACATGTTTTCTAAGAACGATTCGATCTCAGATATAAATAAATTTTATCTTTGTCTAATTTTATTTAGAGCGTTCTTATAAATTTTATAAGAAGCGTGTTCTCCGAATTGAAATTATTTAATAATTTTTGTCAGCTTCCATCAGGTAAATTTAGAAGTGACGTCGTCATTTAACAATGGGAAGATACACTAACACTGCACCGTGAAAGCGCGAGTCAAATGAATCGGCACCCGAATCCACTTAGACTTCTTTACACCGAGAGTTCCTAATCCCTGTTAACATCATAGAAGATATTCGATTGATTAACGCCGAAGTGAAGTGTTTTTATTGTAGACGCGAAATCATTTGCAATAAACTGGATAGTTTCAGTAAAATTATTGCAGATGTTTTAAAATATGCAGTTTTGCGACTCGTAGTTTTCAGGTAAACTTTGTGTGGATGAGATAATGACTAAATTGAATGACATCAAAAAAAAGTTCAGCAAACTAGTGTGAAAGCTTTAGTTTGTTTGTGTTGAAAATGTTTTTTTTTCGGTAGGAACTATGCTGCAAGCATGTCTGGAGACTAAGCCTATTTTGCCGAGCGGAGGAGCGAAGTCTGACTCTTCTGGTGGATCTTCAAGCTCAGTGGGAAATGGATCCGGTAAGAACAGTAGTCTAATACTACTGTAAGTCTAATACTACTGCAGTTTCACGTATCATAAATTTAAGGCGTTGCAATTTACATGCGGAAGGTTTAGCCTGATATTTTCATTTCTTTTCTTCACCCTGTATGAGAGTAATAGATTATGAGCTATCCAAAATTTCCAAATCCTTGAAAACTGCATGTGAACAATGCCTGACAGCTGTCGTTTGTTTTGAAATTTCGCTAATTTTTTCTTCCACTTTTCTGGGCTGATAACAAACAAAATTCTAATTCAAACAGTTTTTATTTTTGCTCTGAGGGTCTCCAACTTATTGTTTTTCTGCTAGATTTCTCAAATTTTTAGGATAAATGATGCCTCACAAATAACTTGTGCTTGGATTGAGTAATGAATGAATTAGTATCTTCAAGGTCGTTTCGGCAAAAAAAGTCTTTAGGCGCTCATTATCACAACCAACACTCGTCGTCAGGGCTATCGTCTGGTAACAACTCGGGATCCAACTCTGGAAACTCTGGATCGCTGAGTAATTTCAAAAGTGGATTTAGTTTTTAAGTTAATCGGTAGAATGAAAAAAATATCTTCTGATTCAGTTTTCGTCAAAATGTCAATCATTGAACATCTATCCAGCTCAACAGCTCTAAGTAGTCAATCATGTTTTTGGCAGCTTTTGAGTTTTTTATCAGTCAAAACTTTTCCATCTGTTTGTTGTCTCTGTTTTTGGATTTTAATGTTTTTTATCTCTGCCTGTTCGTTAAAGCTGGGGAAAAGAGGGAGTTTATTTTGATTTGGGAAAAGTAAAATACCTTGTTCACATTTTTGTCATTATTTGTCATGATGCTTCTTTCTTTTCTGGCGTTGGTAAGAGTCGATGAACGTAGTTCAGACTGTTATATAGGTGGCGATGATTTTGTTATCGATTTTTTTTTTCAGGAAAAGTCTTAAAATTTGTTCAAGCTGAAAAATACTTTTTCGCGGTTTGACTTCTGATTCTTTTAAATAGTAGTGAACGTAGTGAAGTCTTAAATAGGTTTCGGCGATTTTTTTGTTTTTCTTTCAGGAATGCTCTAATGACTACAGATGTGCACTCATACATATTAATGCATTTATGAATGAACTTAGGTATTATACACTTTTTTGAGTTCAATTGAAATTCATCTGCTGAAAGTTACGTAAATAGCCCTCTCCAAATATAAACGTAGAATTGGTGTGAAATAATGTGAACGATTTCCAGTTTCGAAAATGGAGTTTAATTTTTAGATTTAAGCAGATTAAAAATTTTACTCGTTGATCCAGTTTCCTCAAGTTGGGTTAATGTTATCAAAGAGCGCCAATCATAAATTGTTCTAGAAATTCAAAGACCCTAAAGGGTATTTATTTTTTTTTGAACTTCGAAAGTTGAGATTTTCTGAGCAAAGTCATTGTCTTTTTGTTTACTTGATTTCATTACTTTTTCCCAACTGTCATTTGGCTATGTTTTCAAGTTCAGTTAGTTTACTTTAATGAAAAGAAAGCAAACTCCACTATCGAACTGCCTAAGTGGAAAGGTCAGAAAAAACGTGAGCATCATCTAGTTTCGAAAGTGGAATTTAATTCTCGTGTTTTCTAGCGAAATCAATCTTTTATCTGTCGATCCAGTTTTCTCAAATTGGGTTAATTTTAACCAAAAAGTGTCCAGCTTCCTTTAACGAAAATGCCAATGGCCTAAAAAACGTGAATAATTTTAGTTAAAAGAATATTTTTATTTTCATTTTTTAAAAGTTTCATCAAGAGTTGAGTATTCTTGAAATAAAGAAAGCTTGAACGTTAGTTGTATATTTTTTTGAAATTTTGAATTTTTCTGAAAAGGAAGGTTTAAAAGAAATAAGTTTTTTTTCGTTTTTTTTTAAAACTTTTTTCATGTGCATTTTTCCAAATCTGTTCTGGTTATGTTTTATAGTACGCTTAGCTTTTGATGTGAAACTTAGATTTAACTTTTCTAAAGCTTTTTAATAGTCGATGAACGTAGTGATGGTTTTGTTTTTTTTTCAGGAAATTTTATTTTTAGCGTTGAAGAACTCTGCTATTGAAAAGCAAAAGCTTACAGGTCACAAAAAAAACGTAATTTCTTTCAAAAGTGGATTTTTGTTTTCCGAATTCCCTGCTGAATAAAATTTTCCCTATTGATCCAGTTTTCTCAAATTGAGTTAGTTTTATCAAAAAAAACTTATTTATTTTTATTAACGTTCATTGAATTGTTCTTCAAATTCAAAGAGCTTTAAGGCCATAGGTTTTTGAATTTGAATTTCGACTGTTGAAGCTTTTTTCTGTGTCCTAGCGTTCATCGACTTTTTTCCTACTGTCTGTTCGCTTTGTCGAATTTTCGGCCTTTTTTCATTATATTGAATGAAATCTAATCATTTCATTAATAAGGCCTGAAAATGGTTTTAAACTGGCCGAGACTGGCTCTACTTTTTGTTCCGAGCATTAGCATTAGCCCGTGAAATTTTTAAATGTCGTTCAAATCACGACTGAAAAAGCGTTTATATGATATATCACTAAACCCTTTCCAATGATTATTTGAGATAGCTGATTTTGCGCGGCAAAAAACTTAAACACACCCGAATCCATTTTCAAAGTTTTTTGCCGCGCAAAATCAGCTATCTCAAATAATCATTGGAAAGGGTTTAGTGATATATCATATAAACGCTTTTTCAGTCGTGATTTGAACGACATTTAAAAATTTCACGGGGTTTGAAATTTTTGGTCTAATTTCGAGCTAATTAGTAAAATAGTTAATAATTGCAATAGCTTATTTGAGCATAATTTAAACCGTGAAAGCTTAATTTCACCCAGGTGAAGGTAGTTTTTGGAGTTTTATTAGCGCAGTTTTGTGAATCAAAAACTTGAAATAATTCAAAAATTTCATTTTGAAAAAATTGTTGAAATTTTTTTCAATTTTTTTTTTCGTTTTTCTTGTCATTTTTCTTCAAAAACTGTTTTACTATTGACTTATTTTACTATGATGCTTAAATATGCCTAAGTTCTTTTTTTTGTTCAATTTTTTTTATCACAACAGCAGAAAAAAAACTACCAATTTGTGAAAACATTTTTATATTTTTTAAGACTGTGGTCGGAACATTCTGTGCTACTTGCACAGCAGCGGGCTATCCTTGTTTCATTTGCGAACATGTTTTCTAAGAACGATTCGATCTCAGATATAAATAAATTTTATCTTTGTCTAATTTTATTTAGAGCGTTCTTATAAATTTTATAAGAAGCGTGTTCTCCGAATTGAAATTATTTAATAATTTTTGTCAGCTTCCATCAGGTAAATTTAGAAGTGACGTCGTCATTTAACAATGGGAAGATACACTAACACTGCACCGTGAAAGCGCGAGTCAAATGAATCGGCACCCGAATCCACTTAGACTTCTTTACACCGAGAGTTCCTAATCCCTGTTAACATCATAGAAGATATTCGATTGATTAACGCCGAAGTGAAGTGTTTTTATTGTAGACGCGAAATCATTTGCAATAAACTGGATAGTTTCAGTAAAATTATTGCAGATGTTTTAAAATATGCAGTTTTGCGACTCGTAGTTTTCAGGTAAACTTTGTGTGGATGAGATAATGACTAAATTGAATGACATCAAAAAAAAGTTCAGCAAACTAGTGTGAAAGCTTTAGTTTGTTTGTGTTGAAAATGTTTTTTTTTCGGTAGGAACTATGCTGCAAGCATGTCTGGAGACTAAGCCTATTTTGCCGAGCGGAGGAGCGAAGTCTGACTCTTCTGGTGGATCTTCAAGCTCAGTGGGAAATGGATCCGGTAAGAACAGTAGTCTAATACTACTGTAAGTCTAATACTACTGCAGTTTCACGTATCATAAATTTAAGGCGTTGCAATTTACATGCGGAAGGTTTAGCCTGATATTTTCATTTCTTTTCTTCACCCTGTATGAGAGTAATAGATTATGAGCTATCCAAAATTTCCAAATCCTTGAAAACTGCATGTGAACAATGCCTGACAGCTGTCGTTTGTTTTGAAATTTCGCTAATTTTTTCTTCCACTTTTCTGGGCTGATAACAAACAAAATTCTAATTCAAACAGTTTTTATTTTTGCTCTGAGGGTCTCCAACTTATTGTTTTTCTGCTAGATTTCTCAAATTTTTAGGATAAATGATGCCTCACAAATAACTTGTGCTTGGATTGAGTAATGAATGAATTAGTATCTTCAAGGTCGTTTCGGCAAAAAAAGTCTTTAGGCGCTCATTATCACAACCAACACTCGTCGTCAGGGCTATCGTCTGGTAACAACTCGGGATCCAACTCTGGAAACTCTGGATCGCTGAGTAAAAAACGAAGCAGTCCAGTGATTTTATTTGGGAACAATAGCACCTCAAACCACCACCACTATCATCCAGGGACCAATGGGACAGGCGGCGCCGGTTCCGGTGGGGGATCGAACTCGGTCAGTTACTTCTCTGGAGTGGATAAAAAGGAGGCGGTCAAACAGTGTTTCCTCTTCTCCAATCACCTCATCGTCACCTCCAGATCCTCCAGTGGGAAGCTGCATCTAAGCAAAGTTAGCTAACTGCCTTTCAAATTAAAGCTTGATTCATCAAAACTGTCACTAACAAAGCTTTTGAATTCTTATTCCTTTGCTATTGCCAAGTTTTTATGACCCGCGATATTTTTCAGCAATTGACAAAGTATATCACATTTTTTAGGCAAAGTCAGGTTTTTTCATTATTCTTTGTGTTTTGTCGATGATTTTCGGACAAAAGAAATTTTTAATTAGCCTGTGATTTTGCTTTGTATTTGCATTTTCATCTTTGTGTATTCGCTTAATTAAGTTTCATCTGGCACGCTAATTAATTAACTTAGTTTCATCTACGTTTCTGGAAATGTATTTGACATTATTCAGTTTCAAGATTAATGACACTATTGTTCCGATCGCTGAAACTGGTAAGAAACTTTGTCTTCGAGTGTGTCTCAGTTTTTTCTATCCAAATAGTAAGCTTTCACAGTCGTAAGTTGAACCGAACTAAGTGTCGAGAAAAACTGATTTTGCTTTTTGGTCTAGTTTTGAGCATTTATAGTGAGTGAGTAGGTACTATAATAGAAAACGTTTATTTAAAATTATTTTTAATCCTTTTGATCCAGTTTCGTCAAATTGGGTGAACTTCATGAAAAAAAGTACCAGTCATTACACAAGCAATGCTTGGCTTGTATTATAGTATGAACTATCTTTTTTTCCAACCTAAGTCGCAAATATTGTAATATTATAACGAAAGTAACGGAATATTTGTGCTCGGGGTGGTTTTTTTCTTCAGACAAATTTCGACTTTTTAACTAGACGTTTTTGACGGGATTTTTTTTTTGAGACATTCAAAAAGTATTGTTGCCTTGAGCTTAAATTTAGAAAGAATTTTCACCTGTGATCATTTTCATTTTTCGTAAAGTTACGGGGTTTAAAGATTGCCATTTTGGCCAATTTGAGACAATTAACGCTCCATATCTTTTGCGCTATTAACGCGTAAGCGGAGATTTAATCTGTCATAGAAATCGTTCCAAATTGGTTGAAGGAAGCTTATTTGCCATAATTGATTTATAACTAGGAGCGGAATTTATCACTTTGTACTTAATATGGCGTGTGGGGGGATGATTTTAACAAAAAAAAATCTCTAATTAAAAAATTCATTTTATTTTTATTACATTTAATTTTTTCATGTTACTACTGCTCCATAGAATGCTCTATAAATTGAGACACGTTAGTTAGTAAATTTCTTTTTTTTTTCAAATTGACTGGTACTGCTAATGCGTCATAATTGGCGTGCGTCAATTAAGAAATTTTGTAGACTCAAAGTCTTACTCATTCAGTTTTTCCCCAATAGCGTGGTCGGTCGTATTTTTGCCTCTGTGTGAAATATTTGATTTCCAAATTTTCAGTCATCTTGTTGGTTGATCAATATGTTTTGAAACCACATTATAACCTGCAAGAAAATCAATTTAACTTGAAAATGCATACTTAGTAAATAATTTGGACTTCATCAATTTTTTCTTATCAATTTTCTTGCGATGATAACATGCTGCTGTTGATCTAGTTATTGTTGCCCTTGTTGCTGCTGTTGTTTTTGTTTGTTGTTGTTGTTGTTGCGATTTTGCGCTTAGTCTCTGCGCTGCTCTTTCAAATATTATTTGGTACAACAAAGACATCTCAAGGAATCCTCCACCCTGTTTCAAGTATGGCTCTTAGCTGCGTTAATGCTTTTTTTTCCGCAAAAAAAAGTTTTGTACTCTTCCTCTTATTTTTTGATGTTCCGACCATTGAAAATGGGGAGGAACTTGGTATTCGGGTGTGTTTTAATTTTTTTGCTTTTTGTTTTCCACGCAAAATCAGGTACCGCAAATAGTGATCGGACTGGGTTGAGTGATATATCATATTAAAGTCCTTTCAGTCGTGATTCGAACCGCAAAAAATTGCCAAAAAGTTTTCCCAGTGTCGAGAAAATCCGGTTTCAAATATTTGATTTTTTGTCCTAATTCGAGCGAATAAAGCAAGCGAGCAGGCTTACAAGCTGAGTTATGTTTAATTAAAGACCTTAAAGGTTAATTTTAAGCAAGTAAAACTTAATTTTTGTATTTTTAAAAAGTTTTTCTAGACATTTCTCTGCAAAGATTTTTCTCCAATTTGCTTATTACTATGACTGTCTAATATGCCTAAATTATACTTTTATCCTTTTATCACACCAAGCAGAAAAGACTACACTAAATTGGAAAAAAAAACTTTCTAAACCGTAGTTGTCTATAGACTATGGTCAGAACTTTCTGTGCTACTTGCACAGTAACCGGCTATCTTTGTTATTCTGACGCAAACATCTGACCTCATGAAAATTTTAATTATATTGTGATTTTTTTCCAAGTTATTTGAAAAAAGCCAAATGAAAGATCGAAAAATTTAATTGATTTCAAGGAAACTGAAAAAAGGATTGAACTTTCGAGTTTCGGGAAAATGTTTATTCGAGTTTTTGACCGATAATTTTTCCTTAAAACTACAACATTTGAAGAAAACTGGTCAATAAATAGTTCCGGCGATTCTAAAGTGAAAGTAATTCATTTTTTGGAGCTATTCGTTTTTTATTCGAGAACGTTTTTTTCTTCGAGTTAACAATAGGTTTGCATGAATTCTAAGAAAAATCAAAGTTTAACTGCGAAAACTCAAATATCAACATGAACATTTTGAAAGACTGTTTCCTAAAAACAAACTATAGTGCTTTAAAAGTTCAAAAAGCAAAGAAGACATTGAAAATTGTGAAATTATCAGGTGCCCTATGTTGCTATGATTGTTTGCTGTATATGTGGGATAAGCGAACTTTTAGACATTAGTGAAAAAAGTGGTTTTTTATTTAGGTCTTGTTTGCTTGTTTTTTTTTTAGGAAAAAGTTGTTGACTCTGAATATTGAGTTTTTGCAGTTTGAAATTTGATTTGAAGTTCATTTCATCTAGTACGCTCCCCGGTATTAAAAACCGCTTTTGGCGCAAAAAATTTATTTCAAAAAAGACCTATGTTTCGAAAAAGACCCGTTTTTTAAAATTCGAGTGGAATAAAAAAATTATCTATTGATCCAATTTTCTCTAATTTAGGTAGTGTGAAACAAAGCGAATCTCAAAAAAATCTTGAAAATCAAAGAGCAATATTTTGTTAAATTTTTGAGAAATGCTTACGCTTGTTGTTAGCAAACGTTATCAAACTGGAATGTAGATTTTTCTCAGGGTAACAAATAGTTTAACAGAAGCACTTATTTAACAGAATCACTGGAATCATTTTGCTCATGGTTCATATGAAATCGAAAGTTGGCGTTAATTTGCACTTGCGTATAAAGACAAAGGTCAATGGTTCGAATCCGGCCAGGACTTGTTTTTCTGTAGGCGGAAAAATCTCCGTGCGTCTGTTAGTCTGCTTTTTTTGTCGGCTTAGTTGCCGCAGAATCAAATTGGCCTAAAAGTTAGGCTTTCTTATTGAAATTTTTTTTGCTATTTTTTTAAAAATATTTTCATGTTTTTTATTGAATTCAATGAATGTTATGTGCATTTGGTGCAGTTTTAAAGTTCTTGCTTGAGACGGAAAATACCAGAAGTTCGATTCCAGTTTGTACCTTTTTTTGAAAGATGAAAGTTTTTGTTTATTTTGGACTTTCGCGTCTGCTAACTTTTGTCGGCGTAGGTCTCGCAGAAAGTTTCGGCTTCTTTTTTTTATCATTTGGAAGCTCTCTGTAAAAGGAATTTTTTTGTCCTTTTTGCAATTTCTATGTTTTTTGACGGTTTTGAAGGTTTTTTTTTCAATTTTGATTCGCTTTTCATTTGCTGGTCATCATTCGTTTTGTAGTTTAGATTTTTATTTATGTCGCGATGATTTTTTTAAAGGAAAAATTTTAAGTTTTGTTCAGGCGCAAGTTTACTTTTTTCGCGGTTTGACTGGAAGTTTCTAAAAGGAAGGCGAATTCCACTATCGAACAGCGAAATTTAAAGGTCACGAAAAACGTGATCGACTTCTGGTTTCGAAAATTTAATTTACACAGTTCACAGCGAAAAAAATAAGTTACTATAAATCCAGTTTTCTCAATGAGGATTAGCTTTACTGAAATAGTGCCGATATCAATTGTCTAGAAATTCAATTCGCGTTAAGTCTATTTAGTTTGAATGTTGAGAGATTTTTTTTCAAAAAATACGTCCGTATTTATGTTTACTTGCAATCATTGACGTTTTTCCAACCGTTTTATGGCTTTGTTTATAGGGTCTTGGTTCATTTACAGTTTTCCAACTTTGTTGATTATCTTTTCACTGGTTTTTATACCTGATTATATTTAAACTAATTAATTTTCAATGCTAAATTTCACTATAATATAAAGAATATTGCCAAGCAAAAGTTGCAAATTGCTATGGGATGCCACCCGACTGGCTGATGCCTGCTTGGTATTTTCCAAAGCCGAACTAAGTTGTAAACGTACAATTCCATAAAATGTATGATTATGATTTTTGGCTGGAAAATAAATTAAAAAAAAAACGAAAAATACAAATAATTTCAAAGCTTTAAAATGACATTTAAGTATAAGCTAACGCAAAAAATGAGGACTAATTCAGTTCGAAATTGTATTGACAGTTCGAAATTCAGATCGAAAATTAATTGATTTAGTATTCTATTCGCCAACATTTTAAAAATAGATTTAATGAAAAAATCGATGCAAAAAAACATGATGTAGCCAGCTGAAGTTATAGTGGAATTTAATTGAAGTGCGCCTGGAATTCATTCCATTTGTCCTTAACATTAAGATGTCCTTAACTTTGCCCTTTGTCCTTAACATTACCCTTTGTCCTCGATTTGTCCTTAAAATTACCCACTTACTTTTGTGTTTTTCACTGGTGATAAATGTTGCAATATATTATTTATGCCTAATTATATTCAAAAATTATGGTACATAGTTGCATAAAATCAGGAAGTCGCTCGCAAATTTTGTTGCTGGCCGACTCGATATAAGAACCAGGTGAGCTCTTTTGCCCCTTTCTTAATGTTTGTGTAATGATCCTTTTTTTATGAATGTACGTTTTATACATGTTTTAATTCAAACTTTAATGCAGAGTGAGCAAGGAATAAGTTTTAGTCAAAAGAAAACGTTCCACCTCACCTGTTTTTCTAATAATTGCGCCGAACAACGTAATTCTAAATATTAATTTTATTGTGTGGTGGTCTGTCTCCATCAGAAAATATCTATCTCCATTGGAAAATATGGAATTTTTCTAAACAAATTTTTCTAAGAGCAGTAATCGTTGTACAAGACTCTTATTTAAGTCTTGGTGATTTTTTTCGTTTTTTTTTGAAAAAAGTCTCGGAATTTTTCACTCTCATTTTCGATTTTTCGCGGTTTGATTTTTGATTTCTGTTGAAGTTCACTTATTTTTTTTTGTTAAAAGGAAGGCAAACTCCACTATCGAACAGCAAAAGTGTAAAGGTCACGAAAAACGTGATCGACTTCGATTTTCGAAATTGGAAAATAATTATCAGATTTCCCAGCGAAATAAAAGTTTTGCCTGTTGATCCAGTTTTATCAAATTGGACTAACTTTAATAAAAAAGTGGCCATCATAAATTGTTCTACTATTTCAAAGGGCTTTAAGGCCATCTATTTTTTTATTTGAAATTCAAAAGTTGAAGGCGTTTGAAAAAAATCAAGTCAGTTTTTTTAGTTTCCTTGCGCTCATTACTCTTATCCAACTGTCAGTTGGCTATGGTCAGATTTTCCAGCGGAATAAAAGTTTCATATATTGATCCATTTTTCTCAATTTGGATTAATTTTATCAAAAAAGTATCAGTCATAAATTTTTCCACAAGTTCAAAGTGCTTTATGGCCATCTATTTTTTTTCGAAAGTCGAAGGCTGAGATTTAACAAAAAACAGGTTAGTTTTTTTTCTGTTTCTTTGCCGTCATTACTCTTTTTCAGCTGTCAGTTGGCTATGTTTAGACAATTAATCCGTTTTTACTGGCATACATTATGGAAAACTATTCCAAAGTACTGACAATTGAAATAAATTTAGTTTATAAAGCTTAAACATGATATATCGAGGACTTTTTTTAAAATACAATTTGGGGAAAAACATGTGCTTAAGAATACATGAAGTACATCAATTTTTTTCTTGTCAAGTCTGTTTTATAGTATAGGTTTTGACTAAGTTAAAGGAAGTTAGTTCTAGTTGAAATGAGATGGATTCAAAACTGTCAAATTAGAAGTTACATCCTGCTTCAGGTTCTTGGCAAGATCCCACTGGTCAACGCTACTCTATTGGATGATGATCTGTTCAACATTCCAGGTAAGATTGCTTTTTATGCCCCCGGGGGGCTAAAAAAGTTTTAACAACTCGGTCACGGCTGCTCTAAGATTGCTTTTGCTTTTCGGCTCTTTTCCAGTCACTCTTCAATTTTCGTTGGAATTTGATTTTCGAAATCTTTTTTAAAAAAACGGATCTCTTTAACTATTTCCCCCTTTTGCAAACGAAGGGAGATTCGTTACTAGGTACAAAGTTCACGTATGCTTAACCATCGAATTGTTTTTTATAGGGATAGCAATTCGTTACTAGGTACATTTGCCACATAAGAAATTGAGCAAAGTTTAAGCGTGATCAGCTGAAAGAATTTTTCAAGCATTTCAGTATTCAAGTTGCCATAAGAGCAGTTTTTATCATTTACATTACATGAGATGAAAACTGGAAAGAGGGCGTTCAAGAATGCCAAACCATAAAAACGCGGAAAATGAAAAAGTTTTAAGAGCGCCGAAAGTTGACCCTTTCTGCATTTTTTCATCTTCTGTGGTCCTTCTCTTTTTACTGGCTTTTTAAGTAGAGTTATAATTTGTTGACGTTTTGGAAAACGTTTGCAACTTAAAGGCCCTGTATTCTCAAAAAAGACTCACTGAATACTTTTTGCTGGTCTTTTGTTTATAGAAGCACAGTCACGTTCTGGTATTTTTCATGAACGATTTTTCATTTTCAAGCTGCAAGTTTTAAACCTGATTATAAGTGAGTTCAACTGACTACCATTCATTCTAGTCTGAATTCAAGAGAACATCTTTTCTAATTTTCAAGTGCCAATGAACGTAGTAAAGACACTTATATAGGTCGTGATGGTAACTTCCCAAATGGCATAATTCCCAAATGGCATAAAAATGAAACATTTCCCAAATGGCATAAATTTCAAGTTATGATTGTAATTCAAATGTTTTGTATCAGCTTCTAATTCTAACATTTTGTCAGGAACGAAAACACATGTGAACAAGATTTGGAATTAATTGCTTCCAAACAATTTTTATGACAATTGACCACAAGAAGCTTATCAATAACCGCAAGCTTATGCTTTTCGCTTTTGATAAAAAATTATAATAAAATTTTCAAGATAAAATGTCAATCAACATTTGAATTGACAACTGGATTAATTTTCTCACATTGGTCACGAAAACGTTGTTCTCGATTTTTTCAATGCAACAGTTGCATGAAAATTCTGCCATTTGGGAAATTTATATTTTTATGCCATTTGGGAATTTTGCCATTTGAGACGTAATCGGTCGTGATGATACTTTTTTTCTTTTTCCTAGGAATTTCGATTTTTCACGGTTTGATTTTTCCAGTTTCAATGGGCATTTCTGTATTTGTTTTAGTTTCAGTTCATTTACCTTGTAAAAAAAAAGAAATCAAACTCTAATACAAACAAAAAAAGGGTTCATTTCTAGTTTCAAAAGTTTTATAAGCCTTTTTAGCGATAAACAGATCATTACTGAAATTTGATCTATCGGCGGGAATATAACAGCAAAGTGCCGAAACTTTGCTATAAAGACGGCTCCATAATTGATCCTACTGCAAACTTATTTCATGGTGCTTTTAATCTAGTTTTCCGAAAAATTCTCGGAATGATCTACACTTTTTTTTCATAAATAAGTTTTTTTAACCCATAATAGAGAAATATTATTCTAACTCAGTCATTGTTGCTTTTAAGAGCCGATGAACTAGTTCAAAGTCTAAAGATCACCGAACACGTAATCGACTTTTAGTTTCGAGAATGGATTTTCAGGTTTATCAGGTTTCCCAGTAAAAAAATATTACCGTTTGATCCAGTATTCTCAAATTGGGTTAATTTTATCCAAAATTATTCATTCATAAATTGTTCTAGAAATTCGAAGAGCTTTAAGGTCATCCATTTTCTTTTTGAAATGAAATCTGAAAGATGGGTTTTCCCAAATAAATTCAGTTTATTTTTTTGTTTACTTGCTTAAACAAAACAAAACTGTCTGTTGGCTCTGTTTTTTTTTGTCTAATAAGTTGGTACAATAAAGCTGAACTTTTAATTAAAATGACGCAACTTGGATAAATTATCTGTTGATTGCCTTACTTTTTGATTTACATTTCACTGCTACATCGGTTTATTGCACTAGAACCTAAAGAGCAACCGCCTTCTGTGTTTGAATTTCCACTGACTTAACGTAAATTTTGATCTGAGCTTATAAAATTGCAAATAGCTCTGAAGTAAAACTGAAAATCATTGGTTGCGCTGCCGAACATAGGCTTGTTTTCTTCAACTATGGATATGTTTTTTAGCATACCTGCATTTTTTCAACACTTTTCATTCGAAAGTTTTTTCTTATTGGTTGTAATTTCACTTACTCCGTTTTGGTCAATTGCAATTTTTTTTTCACTTTCATTTTTTATTTGGCGCAAAAGGTTTCGGCATGATATTTATTGACTCACTGGGTTCATATTACAACCTTTAAATGCAAAAAATGTTTCCCATGCGTGTGTGTGGCTTTTGATATTTTAGAGTTTGAAAATGTTTGATCGCTCAAGTTTTTTTATGACATTGGTTTTTTTTCATCCCAAGTCATGTCTCTTGAAATATTGTCGGTTTAATTACTGCTGTGTAAGTTTTGTTTCGATGCTAATTCAACCATGATAGCGGTCTCAACTTTTATGTTTCCTCAAAATCAATTTACACAAGTCGAGACAAATATATGAAAATTATTGCTTTTTCGACATTTTTTGGTTTTCCTTCGTTGGTAAGTATTTTTTTTTGGTTTTGGAGGTTTTGCTGGGTTACTTCACCTATGGGAAGGGGAAGGAATTATGTCCTCTGTGGGAACCTAATTTTAAGGAACTTCCATAATCTTCTTGTTTAGTGCCCCCTAATTCTGTGATGGGCAGTGGCAGCGTCCCATCCAATGGCAACCCTCTTCAACAGCAGTGCTCGCTCTCTTCGGTCAAAGAGTCGCCCAATGCAGAGTTTGAGGGCAGATACTTCAAACTGGTTGTCTCTCATCATCTGCTGTCCTACCTGTTCATATTTGTAGCTCCCACCAATCAGGAGAAAGAAGCCTGGGTCACCGATATAGGACAGGTCAGTTTAATGACGTGTTCACTTTTTTGGACGTGTTCATTATCGTTTTGTTGTATGCCATTTCAGTTTGAGGAAATTGGATTTTTGGTTTCCGGATTGTTCAAAGTATTTGTTCGGACCAATAAAATTTTTTTTAAAAGATTAGAAAAATGTATCGAGCTTTTTTAAGAGTCGATGAACGTAGTTCAGACTCTTAAATAGGTCGCCTTTATTTTGTTTTTTTTTTTCGGGAAAAGTGTTGACATTTGTTCAGGCTCAATATTGTTTCGCGGTTTGACTTTGATTTCTTTCTAAGTTCAGTTCATTTCTTTTGTTGGAAGGAAGGCAAACTCCACTATCGGACACCAAATGTGTAAAAGTTACGAAAAACGTGATCGACCTCGTTTTTCGTAGTTGGAATTTAATTATTAGATTTCCCAACAAAATAGAAATTTTACCGGTTGATTAAGTTTTCTGAAAGTTAGTTAGTTTAATCATAAAAGTGCCGCTCATAATTTGTTCTAGAAATTCAAAGATCTTTATGGGCATCTGTTTTTTTTCTGTCTGTTGGCTAAGTTTTGTTTGTTTTTTTTTTAAAGTCAATTTTTGCCAAAAACTGTTCAAATTTCTTTTTTAGTATGACTTTCGAAAATGTATCAGTTCTAGGCTTTTATTTAGATCAAATCATATCACTCCACGCGCAAAAAAAAACATTACTAATGTGAAGAAAGAGAAAAAATTGTTTGTAGTTTTTTTTCAGAATATGCTCGGAACGTTCTGAGCTACGTTCACAGCAGCCGTTAAAGCTATCTTTGTTCAATTTTGGTTTCTATTGTCTGGAAGAATTAACAAAATCTGATTACAAAATGCAGTTTTCTTAGTAGAATGTCTGCTCCGAAGATCAACTTCCTTGTTAATCTAACTCAATTGGTTGTCAGATTCAATCGCTTTTCCAACGAAAAAAGTGAACATTGCTGCTAAAATTAGTAATACTTCGCTGACAAAGCGACTGAGCGTTGCCGTATTATGCTGTAAAATGTGAGTTATGCCTCATAGACTGTGGCGTGCGCTGGAATTTTTCCGGGGAGGAGCGGCTTTTTTGAAATTTTTGCCGACCTTTTTTTTGGTCTACCAATTGTATTTTCCGAGCTCTCCAAAAACACTATAATGACCCTATTTTGTCAAAAATTTTCTGCGCCGCAAGCAAATTGTTTAAAAATCAGGCCAAAAAAGGCGTTTTTAAGCACTTTTTGGAAAATTTTGACAACAAAATGCTTTTTTTGGCGCGCGCTTTCCCTTAAGCTTATTTATTTTGGCGCCCAAGGCGCCTCAGAAAAACTTTGTATTTGGACAGTCCCAAATAGATGTCGTAAATTTATACCAAAGGGAGGGGGTGGGGCGGTCGCCACTCCCCCTCTCTCGGCAGGCTATTGCTCAATAGAGTTGCTTTAATTGGATTTTTTTGTGAAAAGTTCTATCAAAGGCCTGATCGGATATATAGGTCGTGATAATTTTTTTTTCAGAAAAATTTTCAGGTTCAAATTTTTTTTACGGCGCGATTTGATTTTTGATTACTTTTTAAGTTGAGTTCATTTTTTTTGTTAAAAGGAAGGCAAGCGGCTTTATTGAACAGCAAAAATGGAAAGGTCACGAACAATGTGATCGATTTCTAGCTTCAAAAATGAAATTTACTTTTCAGATTTACGAGCGAAATAAAAACTTTACCTACTGATCCAGTTTTCCAAATGCAGTCATTATTATCAAAAAACTGTAAAACATAAATTGCTCGAGAAATTCAAACAGCTTTATGGCCATCTGTTTGTTTCTCTGAAATTCTACAGTTGAGCTTTTCTCAAAAATAAGTCTTTTGTTTTTGTTTACTTGCGTTTATTGGCTCTTTTCGAACCCTTTGCTTGCTATGTTTCTGCTTGTTGGTGGTTTTCTGGGTCATTTGCAATTTTTAGTCATAATAATTTCGCGATCACTATTATTGTTCTGACTATTGAAAACTGAAAATAGGTAGGACTTTGTATTCGAGTGTTTTAATTTTAATCCACGCAAAATCAGGTACCTCTAATAATCTTCGGAATGGTTCGATTGATATATCATTTTAAAGCCTTCAATAAAATCTTTGTATTGAGAAAAGCCGGGTTGAAATTTTTTTTATTTTGTGTACATTCGAGCGAATAAATCGTATGCTTATAATATGGTTTTTCTCAGAGGCGGATCTATGATTTTCTCGTGGGGGTGGGAGGGTGCTGATTTAAAAAAAAGTTAAAAACTTTTTTTAGGCCAACCAAATGATTTTCCGAGCCCTCACAAATCACTATAAAACCCTTATTTTGACAAAATTTTCTGCGCCACAGGCAATGTTTTGAACAAACAGGCCAAAAAGGCGTTTTTAGCACTTTGTTTAATTTTGAGCAAAAATCATGTTTTTCTGGCGCGCGCTCCCGCCTCAAAATTAAGATATATTGGCGTCAAAGGCGCCTTAGAAAAACTTTAGGGTCCGTCAGCCAAAAATGCAGATCCTAAAATAGTACAAAGGGAGGACACTGTGTCGGCACGGGGTCGAATCCCTGAGGAGGGGGCATCCGCCCCACCAAACACGCTGGTGCTGGTAATTGGAAGATTTTAACTCCAGTAAAATTAGTTAAAATTATTTCTCTTCCTTCTTAGGAATAAAACTTAGAGAAAAAAATTCTGCAAAAAAATTTCAAATTGACTTTTTCATTCGTCTTTTTGTTTTATGAGGTAAAATGTTGACAGATGTGCCTCATTTACTTTTACTATCGAAGTTCTAAGCCTTTGTTTAAATCTTCTCGTCTTACCAAAAACAAAAAATTTGGAAAACGTGAAAAGTTTTTTGTGTTTTTTAAGAATATGGTCAGAACATTACTGTTCTACTTGAATAGCAATCGACAAGTCTTGTATATATAGAGTTTTTAACTTTTACTGTATCTTGTGGGATGTTTCTTGTGTTTTTTGATCTGCTCTCTAATTTGAAGATATCAATTGTTTTGACACGCTCTATTAATGGTTTGACTAGTTCATTGCCGACTATCATCTGTAAAGCTTATACCAAATTTTGCTGGTATAATTGACAACAAGTTGCTTTTTGTGCCGCTTTGATGGTTTTGCAGGATTTTTTTGTTAGATGACATTTGGTTATAATTTATGATCTCAAAATGTTAAAATGCTTGTTAAAATTGAAATCGGCGTTTATCGTTTGTTTGAATTGTTAGGCGTTCGTCGAGATTGAAAAGAGATTATTTTAATTATCTTGACTTGATTACGCTGATTTGATTATTATGTGAAATTGTATTTTGGGTAATATTAATGATATTAATGAAATTTTTAGTGGAACTCTGTTTGCCTTATCGGAAGGAGGTTAGTAGATAGTTAATCTATAAACAAACAAATTTAAAGTATTTGAATTCGATCCTTTTTTTGGCCTATGATGTCCTTATTCTCGACCTATTTTTGACCTACCGTTATCGTTAATCGCATCTTCCTTAAATCGAAATTCAACTTTTCCATTGTCTGATGGATCAGCATTATGGTCCGCGGTCAAATGTATGAGATCTAATGAAAAAATCAATGACGTTTTTTATGCTGATTGAGTTTTTTGGCTTATAATACAAGCTAAAAGCGAAGACTAGGAGAAAATATTTTCCTCGGGTGAAAAATTTAAAAAATTATTATTTAATTTTTTTCGGGCTTTGTTTTTCATTTTTTAAAGATATTGGTGACATGTTTAGTGCATAGAGAACATCCACATCAGTGGACTGCTCACGGGACAGGTGAGATTCGAAGAGAGCAGCAGCATCCGCATGTTGCAGAGTGTGCGAAGTGACCCCTCCCTATTCCAAGATGACCCTCAGATCAAGTTCTCCCGCAGCACCAACTCCTGCCGAGTTCCTCAGATCAGGTGGGACTCCATAAAGTGTCTTTTCAGAGTAAGGTCTGCTGTTATTAATTTTCAAACATCTCAATGGGTTCAATTCCAGAGTTCAAATTGCTTTTGGGATATCAGTTTATAGAGTTTATCATATGTTCAGGCCTGCTGTTATTATTTTTCAAACATCTCGATTTTTGATTTTTGTTTGGAAAGTTCTAAGAAGACACGGTACGGTGAATCTTTTTTTTTTGAGTTTAGTCGCCTTTCCGTGACGGCATTTCACCTTTTTTAAACGGAATCTGAGGCTGGTGCTTCATCTTAGGTAGCTTCAAACTCAATTTATGTTCAGATATGCTACTGTGGACAAGCTGTTGGATCGACTGATTGACGTGCGCTTCCTCAGCATCGAGTTCCTCAACACATTCCTCATGACTTACCGCTACTTCACCACCGCCCAGAACGTCATGCAAGTGCTTCGCCACGCTCTCCTGGATCCCGCATCTACGCCAACTGCGACCGCCAATGGAAACAGCCCTGGAATTGTCGCTGTCTCATGCTCTCCTGAGTTTTCCATGGGCTCTCCAAACGGCAGTTTCGCTTCTAACAGGTAAATAGTTTTTTTTAAATTGATATTTGATGTTTTGTGAATTGTTTAATTTCTCACATTTTTGCTGAGAGCCGCTGTTGTGTCCCTGGTTAAAATGTACAAGCCGTTTTTTTGGTTTTTAAAGCAACGAGTTCAGATCATGGTGCTTTTCAACTTTTTGGCAGAGACTAAGATAGTTCTTCAGCGCTATCATGCATTAATCAATTTGATTTTAAAGTATCTGTTTCTGGGAAGTTGGCTGAACTCTTGGAAATACTTTAGAAATAGGTTGTCGACTTGAAAAAAGAACACAACTTCTTTCAATTTTCCTTTTCTACCAATCCAAAATTGCGGTTAAGGGATTTTCTTCTAAGAACCAAGATCCTAAGAATTATCTTAAGAACCAAAGTCTTATTTGTCCAAACCAACTACCTTGGACTAATTTCAATCGCCTTGCTTATAAGAATAAATCTGTAGTGCTACTCAAAATGACATTTTAGCGGTAGTACAGCAACAGAGTCTTGTGAGCACCAATCACCTCCAGCAGTTCCACAGACCTTGACAACTGTTGGAACTATCTTCCCAAACTCAAATCAGCAACAACTTCTTAACAATCAGAACAACATTTGCACTGTCACAAAAACTGGACCCTTTTTGAATGGATCAGTCGCGCCATCTACCCCCTCCCCTGTAGAGCAGATGGTGGGTAATCCCTCCACTTACAGGCTGAGGAAGAACACGGCACCTTCTGTTGTTAACTCTATCAACAACCAATCAGGTCAGAGAAAGTTAGAACGCTTATTAAGAGTCGATGGACGTAGCTCAGACTCTTATAAAAGTCGCGAATTTTTTTTCTTCAGTTTTATTTAAAGAATTGTCTTGAAATTTTTTCAGGCTCAACTTGAATTTTTCCCGGTTTGACTTTTGATTTGCTTTTTAAGTTCAGTTCATTTTTTTTGTTAAAAGGAAGGCAAGCTCTACTATCGAACAGCAAAAATGTAAAGGTCACACAAAACGTGATTGATTTCTAATTTCGAAAATGGACTTTGATTATCAGATTTCCCAGCGAAATGAAAATAAATATTTACCCATTGATGCAGTTTTCTCATAATGAGTTATTTTTTTTATCAAAAGAGTTTCAATCTTAAATTGTTTTAGAAATTGAAAGAAGTTGAAGGCCATATTTTTTTTCTCAGAAAATCGAGATTTGTTCAGAAAACAAGTCATTATTTTTTTTACGTTTACTTGCGTTCTTTGAATCTTTCCCAACTGTCTGTTGGCTATGTTTTTTTCTTTGTTTCCCGAAGCCTCAACAATCTGTCAATTTTCATATGAATACTGCAGTGCTTTTTGAAATTATCCGGACCAAACATTTTTCATTTTTCCCTGGAGCTCAAGCATAACGAGCTGTCAATTGTTTTTCTTGAAGTTTATCCGGACTCTACAAAAAGCCCAATTGTTTAATTAAATTCGTTTTAATAGAATTTGGCTGAGTTGAGAAAAAAAAAGTGATACAGACGAGAATTACTTATTTTCTAACATAATTCATTTAGCGCAATTCGACATTAAGTTTTTACCTCAATTATGGGTTGTTTTCGGTTCTGTATATTTGATAAAACATACGCAACAACAACTTGCTTGGTCAGTTTTTGTACAACTTCTTTCAACATGAGCGTCTTGTTTGGTCCACATTGTCTCACATTATTTGAAGTTTGTGTAAAAGTTTCTGTAAAACTCAGACGTTGTCATTTTATATAGGTACAAGACTTCTCGTATCAGGACAAATTCCTGAATGATCCGTGTGCCCTTTAACTGGCCTTGAAAAGTTTTTGGTAAACGAAATTTTAGTTTAAAAAAATTTGGTTGAAAATATCAAATGTCATCTTAAAATTAATAGGACCGATCAGCTTGCCTTAACTCAATTCCGACCAATTGTTTTAAAGCAGGATAATTCGCCTCACGTAAATCATTCGCTATGCACTTTCAGCATCAAAGTATAAAACATGGATTTTTTAACTAGACTCGTTTTAGATTCACTAGATAGTCAGGTTTATATAATATTGTGCGCGCCCGGTGGGGCGCACGAAGGTTAAGATTTTGAAGTGGCTTGATTGGTAATCAATCGAGATACTTTTTCATATAGCAGTAAAATTACAAACTCTACATCAGAAGTGCTATACGGGTTACTCAACACTTCTAGTAATATCTCTCCAGGTCTTGTAGAATATAGCGAATGGCACTGAAAATGAAATTGACTGTTTGTAAAACATAAACAAGGTTAGCTGAACGAAAAGTCTGAACGATAAACTGGAACTTTGGAATATTCGTTATTCACAGTATATTAGACAAATTGGATAACACTTCTGTAGAAAAATGCAAGAAATATCTAAAAACAAACAATTTGAAAAAGTTTCAAGTTTTTTTTGCAGAAGTTTTTTAAATTGTGAAGCTTTTAATTGAAAAGAGGCACTAAAAAACTCCGAAAATAACTTTATTCGAGTATAACTCTTTTTTCGCGACTCCAATAAATAACAATAAGGTTTTTTAGGCCTGTTCGCTTGCATGATTAGGTCGAACTTAGACGAAAACTCAAAAGTGTTCAACCTGTTTTTCTCGATACTGGGACATTTTTTGGATTTTTTAAAATATCGTTCGAATCACGACTGAAAGGTCTTTAGTATGATATATCACTCGGCCTAATTGAATAGTTTTTGTGGTACCTGATTTTGTGTGGAAGGCAAAATGAAAAATGAACTAAAATGCCTGAATACAGAGTTTGTCCCCTTTTTTCAAATGGTCGGTTCAAAAACAGATTCAACTATCGCAAACATAAAGCTTAAAACTTTTTTTTCTAATTAACGATTTTCATTATTTCCGTTTAAATGGAGATTTTTATTTTTGCAGCTTTAACAGAAGTTAAAAATTACAACCCCTTTTTTGTTCTGGTTATTCTTGTAGTCACTGGTTTGTCTAAACACGCAAAATTTTTACGTGGTTTTTCTGAGTTGCCTAAAAGTTTCTTGAAAAAGTTGAGCAACAAACAATTCGACAACAATGTCATTTTTGAAGCCTGTGAAAACGCTCGATTTATGTTTAAGTCACGGGATAGATTTTTATTAGGGGAAAGTCACGGGATAGATTTTTATTCAGTTTCATGTTCAGTATCAAATTCATTTACTAAACGAAGGCAAGTAGATACACCTACAGAATAGTTTTAAAACTGGATTTAGTTTTTTAGACTTCCCAGCGGAATAAAAAATACAAATTGATTCCCGTTATTCCAATTGTTTGTTGGCAGTTTTTGTATGTTTTTTTTTTAGTTCAAGTTGATTTTTAAAAATTATGCGCAGTGAGTTATCACATTTTGATAGGCATTAATCAGCAAACAATTTGGAAACATGTGTTTTAAGTAAGATATTTTGTACCATGTTTTATCAATTTAATGTTAATGTTAAACAGCGTGTGAATGCTTCATGTTTTAGTGGCTGGTTTAGTTCCGCAAGCAATCCTTAGCCGAGGCAGGTTTCTTGTTTGAGTTGATGTTCCATGTCGATTTAAATTTTTGCCCCTGTTGATTTTCGCCCTTCTGCTACCCAAAAGTTTTTTGGGACTCTTTTATGGAGCCCAATGTTAGCTTTGCCGTCCAAAATTTCCGATGGATATCAGTTTCTGCATTTGCGATAAAACTTATCGGACGATGACAAGCGCGTTTTGTGTTGATATACGTATACTTTGGAGATGCTTGAAATTGTTGTAATAAAGGCAGATCAGTTTTTGTACAAAACGAGTTGAAACTACTCCCGAAAAATGGGAAACCATGTTTGGACCCTGTATATCGTCGTTACTGTATATTTCTCGGCTGCAAGATCTGTCTAGTAAATCGTTCTCTAGTAAAATCTGAGTTGTGTGCCTATAAAGTGTTACTGAACGGAGATTTTAAACTGCTCTAGGTGGTCTCATACACATGCGAGCTAGCGAGCGTAGTTTAATATTACTTTTTTCCCAACCCAACTCGCAGTAGTATCGTTTCTCTACTTTATTGATGGCCAGTGTTTGCCTGGCAACGTACAGTAAATAGGAAACAGTGTAAGCAGACAGGTCAGTAGCAGACAATGTTTTCAATCTCTATATCTAAGGCGATTTTTGCAAAAAAAAATGCTAGTTTCCCCAAACAATTCTAAACAACATTGTTTTTCATTACGCTATGTAAAATATCAACTAAGTTTGAGAAGCTTTGCTTTAAAAAGTAACTTTCTAAACAGTTTTCAATACGTATTTTTTCCGCTAATCAGACTTAAGTATTGTCAAATTGTTTCGCTTACTGACCTGTTTGCTTACACGGTTGTCTACTTACTGGACGCATACCTGTTTTCCTATCGTCAAGCAACCGAAAAGCAGATGCGAGGACGTGAGACTACATGTTGGTGGCATGATTCCGGCGCATAGCAAATGTTTCATTTTTTAAGGCTCATTTCAACCTTTTCAAGGCATTATTGGTAGCTAGTGTTTGACTATGGGCAAGAGACAGTGGCGCAGATGCGAGTAAGTAAGACTCCTAATCTACATGGCGCAGGTTCGATATCGGCAGATAGCAGAAATCTTATTTTTCAGGGCTTACTTAGACCTCTTCTTTCCTTAACTTTAAACCATTTTTGGGCTACTTTTTGCAGTTTTTTTTTGCTCTTTTTTGCGAAATGCAGCTTCGCCTCTATGTTAATAGAAGGAATTTTACCTCGATCGTCTCCACCATCTAGTGAAGAAGAAAATGTTGAAATCCGCCGTAAAGGTTTTCCCCCTGCTTTTGTTTCATGTGTAGGATTCGTTTTTGGAGAATCTCCTTCAAATAACTGCAGTGTGATGATTTTGAGCAACTTTACGGCGTATCGATTTACACCAAAATAATGGACAAAAGATCAGGTTTTCAGCAGTAAGTTTTCAGTGACACTTTAGTTGCCTAACTGTTGGACATGTTTTCATGTTAGATTCCTGTAAATGTCTTCCCTATTAAGTTTAACAAGGCTTTGAAATCAAAAAAAATTATATTTGAATGTACTTTTTTTGAAATTTAGCCGATGCAATAAAAAGGCGAATGGCCCAGACATCGCGAAGTCGCCTGGTTTCCGACATCACAGCTACAGTTAGCCCGACCAAACAACCGATCAAAACTCAAATGTCGCAGCATAGTGACTCAAACAGTGCGACCAACAGAAATTCGGCCGACCAAAGTTCTCTTTTAAATTTTAATCGGAGGGCTGACACCGATTCGAATACTGGGAATTCGACTCATTCTGTGAGTTCTAACGAGTTGGAGCCGCTAGTGACGTCGGAGCACGTGGGGGAGTCTTCACCGAGTAGTCCCGATGCAACCATCGGCTCCTCGGAAAGCGCCGTGTCTATGGGAATGACGCACAGTGCAGTCTCAGTTGCTACTAGTAATCTGAGGGATTCAATTAACTCGATCGGCGATTTCGTTTTGAGCAAGAAACATCAGTTGACGTCTAAACAGTTATCCGTAGAGAGTGATGACAGCTCGTTTGTTGTCTACTCCATCAAGGTTACAGTTTTGAGCTTCCCTTCATCAGGCAAAATAATGAAAACTAATTGCTTGCTTACCTTTATTTAAAGCTTAAAATGTCCTTTCTTCCTGATTTTTCCAGTGAGAAAAGTATTAATGGTCTGTCAAATTTTTTCCCGCATGTTTTCAAAGAGGGACAACTTTGAAAATATTTGTGTACCTTGCACACCGTTCGTCTAATAATATAAAACAGCATGTTTTTTTATAGGATTCGGACAATGAGTCTTTGAGGAACGAACGAAGGTTGTCTGAGGAATCGGTTGAAGGTTTGTTCGCTTTTCTTTCGATTTGATGATTTTTCATTGTTGTCAGTGTTGAGAAAAACGACTCTGAAATTTTGGCTATTCGCAGTCAATGTTAGTTGAAAGTGTGGACTCCATATATGAACATGGTTTTTCACTAAAAGGAAACATCTGATCTGTTATTTGATGTTTTGAGGGGCACTCTGCGAGTTCAAAATTTCTTTTTGAAAAAACGCGAAATTTTTTTTGAAAAATTTTGGCCAAATTTTTCTCAAAAAAAAGTGTTTGATAATTTTTTGCAATGCTAACTGTTGTTGGAACATTCTGTGTTGCTTGCATAGCTACCAGCTACTATTGTGATATTTCACCGTTTCAGAAACAGAGAAAAACATAATTGAACGTGTGAAGGAAGTGGCTCTCAAAATTTCAGAGTCATCCTTCAACAACAATAGCAACCACAGCCATCTAAATCACAGCGCCAACAGTAACGTTTTCTCACTGTCGGAATCATTCGACAAATCGCTTCGTGAGTTTGTTGTTTGCATGTTTTATATTTGGTGTATATCATCAGTAATGACACTTATAAAGCTAATGACATATGTTTACGGCAAATCATTTCTGAAACCTAACTGTTTTTTGCAGTGGTGGTGTCAGTTACCTCAAACTTTTTAAGCGTAGATTGATTGGTAGCTAAAATTATAATTACATTTCTATTGCTATGCGGTAGCCTAGAAGAAGCCTAGCATAAGACACTTCTTTCTCGATCAAATATGAAATCATCATTGTTAAAAATGAAAAAATCATTGAACTAATTTATTTCAGTTGCTTTGTAATGTCAGTTTAAGAAAATTTGTTGCAATTGGGATTTATTTGCAACTTCTTTCTCGATCAAATATGAAATCATCATTGTTAAAAATGAAAAAATCATTGAACTAATTTATTTCAGTTGCTTTGTAATGTCAGTTTAAGAAAATTTGTTGCAATTGGGATTTATTTGCAAAAATATCATATAGTCGTAAGATATGAATGCGTTTTGCAGTGGTCAAAATGAAGGGTCTCGTATCACGAACCTTCAACAGCTCACATAACCTCTCAACATCCCCGACCTCTCCTCCTGTCGTCACGTGTTCAAACCCGATTCAGCCGACCTTCTACCACTACTCTTCCTCGGCACCCTACTCTTACAATCGCCCGACAATGACAAATTACAGGCATAGCTTACAGCCTGAGCAGATTCCTAGTTCGCCGAAAGTACAAGGTCGCGGTGCTTTCTCGAACAATGGCATGTATGAACATAACGAGGATGATTGTATGTGTGAAACGACAAAGTTAGCTTCTGCAGAGACCTTATGTAATGAGCCTCTAAGCTGCAATAGAAGATCTGTGATGTCACAATCTCAGAATTCGCTTAGGAGTTCGAGCTCTTCAGGAGCCGGACGGACTCTAAAGGACATTTTCTACAGCATTTATCCATCTAATAACCAACCCATCTCCGATTCGAGACTCGAGGCTAAACCAAGAAATACACGAAGTGTGAGTTTCTCGAGGCCTGTGGTCACTTATAAACAGTTTAGTGACTTGTCGGCAATGTCAATTTGTCCGAATCGTCATCACTTCCCGAGGAACTCAACCAGTAATATTGAAAGTACGCACATGTGTTGCAACTGTGTTTGGTGTCTGTCTAGTGGTGTTACTAATTGTGGTTGTTTTCGTTCGGATGCTAGTCGTGTTAATGCGAGCCATGTTGCGGTGCCTCGTTTGCACCTCCCTGTGGAACTCAAACACTCATACCCTTTCGCAAGTAGCGAACATAGACAGGCCGCTCGGTTTCCATCACATGGACTGCAAACTTCATCGCGTGAACAGTTTAATAGTTCAACTAAAAACAATCTAGGACAAAGTTTTGTATCCTCAATGAATGGACTCTCATCCATGACTCCCGCCTATCATGGACCAAATTGTCTGCAACATTCCACAGCTAACATGTCTATGTCTCCTGCGTATAACTGTCATGGACAGTGGACGAGTCATTGCACCATATATGACTGGTCAGAGGAAGGTTTGTGGGTAGCGTCTGCTCGCACATAGAACTATTGTATTTTTCCCATTAGTTGCAGCTTCTCAAAACATCGCCTGAATTCGATTCCTGGGATTTACTCTTGAGTTGCTTTCGTCTGGCTTTGCGCTTTGATCTGTTTGGCCAAAATTTGGTTGTTTGGAGTGAATGAGTGATTTGATTTGTCTAGCCTGGATGCTTAAGCCTTTGTGCCATTTCAGTGACCCTGCTGGTGTGTCCATAGTCCATCTTTTGTTGCGCTCGCTTCTTGAAATTTTTTAAAACTCTGAACTGAATCTTGCTCTTGTTTAGTTTTAGCTGCTAGTTGTACAATTATTTAAACGTAGAGCTAGTTTTCTGTTTTGCCTGCTTATGTGCGCACTGCAAATTTTATGTGCTGAATTGTCAAAAAACGTGTAATCTAATTGTTTTTTGTTTACCCTTGTGAGAGCAAGTGTCTTATAGTCGGGAACTAAACTTTTTTCCTTTGAATTTTTTTGTAAGATGCTCTTCTGCTGTGCATTTTTATAGCGTGCCTTTTACCAACTTTGCAACTTTGGACAATTCGACTTTTTCGAAAAACAAAAATTTTCAGACCAGTTTTTCTCGACACTGAGACATTTTTGTGTTTTGGAATCTGAATCACGGCCAATAGGGCTATGATATGATACTACAGTTGACCTCCAGCGAGTAGAAACCAGGCAAAAAAAAGTAGCAAAGTAATTCTTAGTTACTTCTCACACCCTTTAGGGGTGTGTTCCGAACAAAAAGCTTTACTTACATTTTTTCTTACATATGTGTGAGAACTGTTACGACTCAACTCTGTGTCGATTACTTCGCAGACATACTATGAGCATATTTGCCTTTTTGAATTCTGTTTTGTCTGAAATTTTTATGTTAGTTGTAAAGTTATCATCGCCGGCATGGAATAATTTCCGTCTTTTATATTTTTTGTTCACTTGAAAGTTTCATTCGTCTTTAGCGGTTTCAAATCGTTACAAAGATTTTGCTTTTTTAACATCAATACCTTCTAAACCCCTTACCACTCAGTTTAGTGGTAAAACAAGTTCCTTGGGATTCTAAGGTATGGGTTTTGAGTCACGGCTTTGTTCTATTTTCGTTATGCATGGAAACTGAATTTTTTTCTTGCAAGACTTGAATTGTCGCACAATCTTTTATCTGCTTAAATTTTTCCTGCTCATATTCCAAAGCATGAAATATTTTTTATGCTTTGTTTTTTATTGTAAATGAAAATGTTTCTGTTATTTGTAGATATACCAACTCTGATTTTATGTTTTTCTTCTTATTGTTTTTCGTTTATTTCTTAAATGGTTTCAGATTGTGTTGTATCGGCATAGTCGCTTCCTATTGGCTATTGGTTCCTGTGAAATTTAAAAAATATGCATGCGTATGAGTGTGCATCAGGTTGATCTAAAACCTGTTTTACAATTTTTTACAGCTCAAGTTTCTTATGACATTTTTAACGCAGCGAGCATCTTTCAAGTCGACCCAATTTTCGAGTTAGCTACAGCTTCTGAAATTTTGTTTTATTGCTAATTTAGTACTGGCAATTGTCTTTTTCGACATTTATGGAAACAAACGTATGAACGTTATGGTAAAATTAATTTATTTGACCATTTTTTGTTGGACTTTGTGGCTTTCAACTGTTTTTTTTTGTTGCCTAACTTGCCATAGTATGTTTTTGATATTGCAAGCTTCGTCTCTCTAAAATTAACTAACTTTGCTTGCATACTTCAAAAAAAGCTCCCAAAAAGGAGGGCACAGAGAAAATGCAGTCTCAGACAATTAATGTTTTTTATTATTTTCAACGAAAAGTTGGAATAACTGACCATCAACCGAAATGTTTTTTTTTAAATTTTTTTTTCAAAATTATTTTTAAACCACATGATTTAGTCAGATAACATAACACCTAAATATACAGGACGATTAGATGGAATGTTAACACAGGGATCCTTGTTTAATGTTTTACTTGATGTGGCTGAAATTTTTTGGAACCCGAAATCGGAAATAGGCTTTTTTTGACAGCTATAAATCAACAACTTTAAAAATGATTGCCTCTCATTGATTAGTAGAAACGCTAGTTTAATTTGCTTGTCACTAGTCAGCGGTTAAACATGAATTATTTTGACAGTTGATATGTTCCTTACAGCTCATGGTAAGAATCTGGTGCAGCTGTCGGAGTCAGATCAGGGGCTGAGTAGTGGCAACAAGAGGTTCTCATTGGATTCCTACTTGCACTCGAGAAATGATTCTAGTCACAATGCCTCCAGCAAGAAAATGCACTATTCACACTCACCGGGTAAGCCAACTAAACTACAAGAATCCGTCACGATAGAAGGACCTAACATATGGCAGAGAGTTATATTAGTTAATCCGAATTTGGTATCCAAAAAGGTAAATGAGTACCGCGACAGTTCGTACGAACTTTCAGACAATTCAAGGTTTTTTCCGATCATCTGAAAAATATGGAGGAATTTTGTATTCGGGTGTGATCTTAGCGTGGAAATAAAAAAGAAAAAAAACACGCCCGAATACAAAGTTCCTCCCCATTTTCAATGGTCGGAACAATAATGAAATACACGGAGTTAAATGAACGATGTCAAAATGTAGGACAACCTTAATTGCCTGAACTCCGTAAAGGTTTCATGTTCTGAACTAAAGGTTTCAAATAGTCTGGAACGCATAAAATTGGTGTTTTTCAATCGTTTTTGCTTATTTATCTGCAAAACAGCGAATTTCAGTCAATTGAGTTTCAAAGAAAGTGATTTTCACCTATATAGATCAAGATGATTTTTTTCGTTTTTTTTTCACTTAAATGTCTTGAAATAATTTTTATCATCGGTTTTTTGTTTTGAAAATCATATAAACCACGTTTATTTTCATTATCGAGTTCTTTTAATTTTTTTGCTTTTAATTCCATATACTTATCGTATTTGAGCAAATATAATTTCGGGACTTGGTGAAAACTTACATCCAAAATTTTTCAATTATTCCGCTGATCTTCTGACTAAAATTGATTTTACTGCCTTAACTGAATGAAAAAGAACTGTTTAAGGTGTAGTGGTGACATCATCAAGAAAATCAACGCGGAGGTCCAGCTTGCAAACGGCTGCGGCCGCCTTCGCAGCCGCCACTGCCGGGGCCAACACACTCACCGGAAACTCTTCTGTATCTGGCGGCCCCCACCCCCACAAGGGACAACAGACGGCTGGAGGAGGTGCGGCTAATGGGAGTGCATATTCTACGCATCCGATTCGAAGTCTAGCTGCTCGGAGAAACCAAATTGGGTCCAACTCATCATCGGCAGTGTCCTCGTTGGCGAACAATTTATTTTCCAAAAACACTAAAGGTATCATTTGTACTTCTTTGCCTACTTTGCTTCTTGTCAAATTATATTGTTGGAGTGAAACTTGAAACGTTCCTAGCTCTGATGAAGATTGCACATTAGATGGGCTAAAAGAACTCACTGAGTTTTGGGAACAAGAAGTTATGTTAGTGCAAATAATTGGATCTCATTCAGTACTGAAATATCATCCGATTTCTTTTAATATTCTTAAAAGGATCGCTCAAAAACTGTTCCAAAAATGTAATTGGAATCATTTATCGATGAATGCGAGATAATTTATTAACTTACAGGCTGCTCAGATTTTTTGGACGTACCGCTTTTGACTCCGTTTTTATCGGAATTTTGAGATAATTTCATTGGCTTCAAAAAAGCGCTTCACGGGCATGAAAGAAGCTCAGGAAACGATGAATGGCAAAACATTAATATCTTGATCGGAAAAATGGCAGTTCTGTGTTTGGTCGGGTGTGTTTAAGAGTAATGAACGTAGTTAGTACTCTTATATTCTGATTTTTTTTGTTTTTTTTCAGGAAAAAGTCTTAGTTTGTTCACGCTCAATTTTGATTTTTAGCGGTTTGACTTGTGATTTTTTAAGTTCAGTGCCTTTCAATTGTTAAAAGAAAGGCAAACTCCAGTATCGAACATCAAAATTGTAATGGGCGCGAAAAATGTGATCGACTTCTTATTTCGAAAATGGAAATTAATTATCAGATTTCCCAGCGAAATGAAAATTTTACCTATTGATCCAGTTTTCTCAAATGGGGTTAATTTTAACAAAAAAGTATCTTTAAATCCAAAGAGCTTAAATGTTATCCATTTTTTTTCTTCGAATTTCAATTGTTAAAAGAAATGCTAAAAGTGGTTTTTGAAATAACAAGTCAGTTTTTTTTCCAGTTTCCTTGCGTTCATGACTCTTTTAAAACTGTCAGTTGGCTATGTTTTAGTTTTTTCCTTTTTGTTTTCCACGTAAAATCAGGTACCATAAATAATCACCGAAATGGGTCGAGTGGTATAACAAATTATAGACCTTTCGTTTGTGATTCAAACGACATTAAAATATTTTCCAAAAAGTTTTCTCAGTATCGAGAAAAACTGGTCTAAAACTTTTATTTATGATTTCAATTATGAGCGAATAAAGCGGGCTAGCAGGCTTACAACAGCTTAATTATGCTTGATTTAAGCCCTGAAAACTAAGCAAGTTAAATTAGTTCTTGCTTTAAAATATTTTGTCCAGTTTGACTTTTTTTCTACTTTCGAATTTTTTTTACGACAGATTCTTTAATCACACCAGGCAGAAAAAACTACACCAATTTGTAAAAAAAAACTTTTTAAAAGCTTTTTAAAGGCTATGGTCGGAACATTGTGTGGTACCCGCACAGTAACCGGCCATCCTTGTTTTAATCTGTTTTCTGATTGTCTATTGATTAAGTTTTCTAATTATTAACCGATTGGAGACATTGCTCTAGGTGAAGTGAGTGGCAAGAAATCATCGGACTTATCATCGGCCACTTCAATGAGAGTTCTTCACGTGCTACGGCACTGGTCCACAAAGTTTCCGGAGGTAAGAACAAATTTTGCAAAACGTGCCCTAAACGGCAGTTTCGGCCTGTTTTTTTTATCAAAAAGTTTTTGAAAAGTTATTATGAATAGTCATTTAGATTAATTCTAAATGAATAAGTATCCGATGTGTTTGTGTTTCAAGGACTTCGAGGAGGGCAAGCCTGCGAATCAGCTGCTCATATCGATGCTGAAGGAGGCACAATTCAATGAATGTCTCACAGCAGAGGAGGAAAAGATTGTCAATGGAATCTACAGGTGAGCTTATTCTCTCATATCGATAAGCGAAGTGAAGTAAAGTGTTAATTACTTATAATTCATAACTTTAGTTTGAACATGACCTTGGATTGGATTTTCTGTTTCATTTTATATTTTTTGTCGAAACTACGCGTTCATTTTATGTTGAAGCATTTTGTGTTTTTGTTTTGTTAGATCATTAATTACCCTAGAGACATAACCTTAAGTGGCTCAAACATTTAATTTTTGATAAATTTCCACGTCACTGAATAATTTTTGTTTTAAAATTAGGTGTAGCTAGGTTGCACTTGTATCTGCTTAAAGATGAACAGTAAAATAATTTCACTAAAAGTAGTTGTTAAAGTTTTTATCTGAAAATAAATTATTTTATTAATCAAGCATGATCAAAAATCTTGAAACGGGGAGTTTTAGCTCCGAAACTGTTGGTTTATAGGTTTGATAAAATATCTACCCTACAAGCATTTTTGAAACCAGGAGCTAATTTTAAGTTAGAGGTTTTACTGATCGGATAGAATGTTTCCCGGAAATATTGGCCGTTTTTCATTAACTTAAACTATGACCGAAACTTATTTAAAACTGCTCATCTTTGCTTGTATGATCGGGTCTTTCCCATTATAGACCTCCTTCCCAGCTTAATAAGGAAACATATAGTGCTATAATGGGGGATTCTATAATTGGAAAGACTCGTACATTCTTCTCTTATGTAGTCTCGACTTCAGTTTCGTGCATTTAGTTTTATTTATGCTTCTTTGCAGATTTCTCTGTAAAATGAATCATGAAAGGTGAGCAAAATTAGTAAAAACACTAATGAACTTGACTCGACTCGACACTTTAAATTATAGCCGAACATACCGGGTTGTTTCTGTCTTAACTGGCTGAATGATTTTTATGTCACTTTACTTCAGTGTCTGTTTTGTTTAAAGGTGCTCACTATGTTTTGAGTGTTTGAGTGTAAGAAATGCTACCGAAATTAACAAAAACAAGGTTGGATATAAATCCAAGGAAACTTCCACTTTAAGTGTGGAGTTATAGTATACTTATACGAAAAAGATGCATAACTTAGAAAAATACTTGATACATTTTCTGCTTTCAAATTCAAAACTTGTTTTTGATTGAAATTTCGTGTGACATCTGAAAAGTATTAATTTTTTGAGCTCAAATATAAAGCAATTTTTTATATTTTAACTGTGATCATTTACCCATGGAGGTTTTCAAATTTTAAAAATTTTGAACCATTTTTGCGGTTCACTTGGTTTTTCTAATTAAATGCCTCGATTTTGTTCAGGCCTACGATTATTTTGTTTTAGCTAACTGATACTTCATTTTTTTAGCTCTTGAAGTATCAGCTAATTGCAAAGTTAGCTAAAAGTGTAAGAGTTGATTTTGCAAGTTCATTCTTAAAAAAAATGAAGTATCAGTTAGCTAAAACAAACTCTTACACTTTTAGCTAACTTTGCAATTAGCTGATACTTCAAGAGCTAATTTTGCCAGTTTATTCCTACAAAGTAGAGTTTTTCGTTTCTCAATGTGTATATCGCGCAAGTTTTTGCTCTTCACTCCATGTTTTTGAATGGGATATTAGTGTACGAATTGCCAGTGTAGTAATTACCCAAAGACCCTGTACTTGTTGTGTTTTACGCTGATAACCTTTTCCCCTAGCAAAAATTTTCGAAATAATACTGTATGAGGGACTTATCCTATACTACTATGATGATATCGACGTCCTAAAGTCAAATGTAAACAAGGATAGCCGGTTGCCGTGCAAGGAGGACAGAATGTTCCGACCATCCATGGTTTTTCAAAATTGTCGGTTTTGGCGCGTGGTGGGTTTTGAGAACAAAACAACCCTGTAGAAACTTAGTGAATTAGATATACTTGACAACTTTTGTCTTCAAAAAAGAATGGCAAACAAAAAGTTGATTTTTTTTTATTAATTTTGAAAATTGTTTCATTTTGCGCAAAATTTTTTTATAAGTTTTTACAGAAAATCTTTATTGCCAAGAAAGCACTAAATTATACATCCAAAACTACTTTTCGTCACAGTTAAATTAATTTTGTAAAGCTTAAATTCCAAGTAAATGTATACTTCCTAAAAACGGTCGTTACTCGATCGCTTTACTCGCTCGCAATTGAACTAAACATAAAAAAAATTCGACGCTGGGACAAATTTTTGAACATATTTTAATGTCAATTGAATTACGATTGAAAGGGTGTTAGTTTTTTATATCACTCAACCCTTTTATAGTTTGTGATATCTGATTTTGCGTGGAAATATAAAAAAAACATAAAAAGCTAAAACATACCCGAATACAAAGAAAGTTCCGTGCCATTTTCAATGTCGGAACAAAAATAGAGTTGAATCTTTTCAAATTGTCTATATAGAAATGAAATCTGAAATGTTTATTCTGCGATCGTTTTTCGTTAGTTTTTTGGATTTTTAAAAATTGGCAATTTGTCTATTTCCTGACGGACTAAATAATGCGCGTTTTTCTTAATCCTCGATGCTCTGTACTTAAACGCGTCTTATTTGAGCGCCCGTCTGTGTGTTGACGCAATCAAATTATTATTCTGGTTTGAATTGAGGCAAGCAAGGTCCTAATTTACCCGGTCCTAATATTCTTTCGGGCGATTTCAAAAAATTTAGAAGACCGACGTTTAAAAGTTTTAATACAGGCGCAAAGCTGCCAAACACCATCGAAAAAATTTGAAAAATAGCACCCAAATGGTAAATCATTAAAACTCAAGAAAATACAGAAGTATGCCTTGAAAGAAAATCAACTTCACTAGGTTACAAATGATCACTGAAAGATAAACGCTGAGACTTGTAAGTAGTTCTTTAGCAAGCGACGATCTAAGATTTTCAAGTGGTGGGGATTTCTTAACGTTTTCAATTTTATGTCGACCAATTTAGTTTTCCGAACTCGCACAAAAGGATAAAATGTCGTCAACGTTTTCAAAAATACCCATTTCATGAGAAAATTTGGCTCTTTTTCCTTTTCCCCCCACCTCACTTAAACATGAATTTTATGGTCTAACGAGCTGTCTTACAAGGTTAATTATGGAGACCAAATATGTTTGTCATGGCCTAATTAGTCTACATGCCAATTTTCATGACAATCGGACAAAGTGAACAGTAACTTCAAATATAAAAATTTGCAGGTGGGGGGGAAAAGGAAAAAGAGCCGAAAATTTTAAATCCGAGCCTGCTCAAAAATTACCTAGTAGACTCATTTTATGTTTTTAATTAGTTCTATGTTAATTAATAAGGTTGATTTTCTTTCAAAATCTATTTTATCTGTATTTTTTAAACATTTTTTGTCGTTCTTAGTATTACTTTTTGCATTTTTTCGCTAGTGTTTTATGAAGTGCAGCTTCGCTTTTGGGTTAATACATTTTAATCTGGGTTTATCAAAATAGGTTAGTTGATCTGTGTTATTTGTGTAAAAAAGGGTGTATCTTTGATGTTTCTTGAAACTTGAAAATCTGTACGGCGATGTATTACAATAATTCAGTCGTGTTATCGGTTTATCCTTGAGGTCATGGTCAGCTTTTAACAGACTGATGACGTGTACTTTTTTTTGCCTGTGCATGGGAAGCGAGAATTCGTATCTGCCCTAATATGAAAACCAATGGCTCTTAATTTCAAAGTTTTTTTATGCCTTAAAATAACACGTGTTGGCGTATTTGCATGTCTCTAAAGTCAAAGTTGTCATTGAAAGTCTACACGTTTTGTTACACGTCACCGAGAAACTTTTCTTTCCTTCATTATTTCTGGGTTGCTTGATGATGGTCTAAGGATTAGGAGCAAATGGTAAGTTGAAATAAGAGGATAATCTTAAGCAAAATGCTACGATTTTAGATAGCGAGGGTTTATTGTTGCCAACTATGTTAGTTGTAGTGAACTTTTACAGTTTTTTAAGAACTTAGATCACTTTTTAATGGACCAAGAGGAATTTACTTTAGGACATTTTAGTCGATTCTCAATTTTTTTGACGGTAATGCATTGTAATTGTATTTTCGTCTGAGTGCAATTAATGTACTGTTTTTTCAGGGCCCTCACTAATTTCGAGGAGAGCAAAGACGACTTCGTGGCGTTGCTGGCGGATCTGAAACATGACACGAACCCCACAGACGACCACAGCTACCCCCAAGTGGCCACTGTGACTTCTTCTATCTCTGCCAATGGATTAGTGTCCCTAGAGAGCATCACTGCTCTGGAAATAGCCGAGAACTTGACCTTCATTGAGCACAAAGTGTTCTCTGCCATTCCCTTCTGGTAAGGTTTTTTTTCAAATAACCGGAGTTTTTTAATTTCCTAGGCTGTAAAAATTGTCTTTATCTCAAATTGCTGTTAGAATGTTGGCCTTGAATCTTCGTTTTTGATCTTGGATTTGAAGGTTCAAGGATTGTAACTGATGCAATTAGGTTCCACGCCTCAATTTTTTGTCTTATTTTCCAGACAATTTTTAAGAGTCGATGAACATAATTCAGGTTCTTATATAGGTCGCGATGATTTTTTTCGTGTTATTTTTTCAAGAAAAGTCTCACAATTTGTTCAAGCTCAAATTTACTTTTGCCCGGTTTGACTTTTGATTTCTTTTTAAGTTTGATTCATTCGCTTCGTTAAAGGAAGGCGAACAGAAAAAGTGTAAAATTCGCCAAAAACGTGACTGACTTCTAATTTTGAAAATAGAATTCAATTTTCAGATTTTCAAGCGAAACAAAAGTTTTACCAGTCCAGTTTCTCAAATTAGGTTGTTTTATCAAAAAATTTGCAATCATAACTTGTTCCAGAATTTCAAAGAGCTTAAAGGGCATTTATTTTTTTTTCTTTACGAAAATTACGAAAAAGCTGCTCAAAAGTTGTTCACACGACAATTTTCATGTTAGAAATATTGTATACATTTGTTCACCTGTTCACGCTGACCTGTTTTAAGCTGAACTGTCACGCTGGCCTGTCTTTTTCCTTCCCCCCCCCTCCACCTCACACCAACATGAATTTTATGTTCTAACGAGTAGTTGGCTCTTTTCCAGTCCACCCCACCTTTCAAAATACCGAGTTTTATATTTCTTTTACGTGTTATTACGGCTACATGCGTGATGTTACGCTGTAAAGTATGAAATTGATTTTGAAAGGGGGGAAATGGAAAAGAGCCGAGTAGTTTTACAAGGTTAATTATAAAGACCAAATATCTTTGCCATGGCCTAATTAGTCCGCATGTCAATTTTCATGACAATTGGACAAGGTGAACAGTAATTTAAAATATAAAAATTTGCAGGTTGGGGGGGGGGGAAGGAAAAAGAGCCGCAGTTTGTAACATGAAAAGTCATTTTGGCTCTTTTTCCTTTTCCCCCCACCTGCAAAATTTTTCTAGTGAAGTTTTGTTCACTTTATCTGAATATTACAAAAATTGGCATGCGAACTCATTAGGCCATGGCAAACATATTTGATTTTCATAATTAACCTTGTAAAACCCCTCGTTACACCATAAAATGGACGCTTATGTGAGGTGGGGGGGGAAGGAAAAAGAGCCGTCATTTTAAATAGAACTTTATATAATGAATTTCAGAAAAAAAAAACAAAGGGGGGGGGGCTGGAAAGAGCCTGATGTTCTAAACTACAATATTACTTGTCACCGTGAACGCGTGAACAAAAATTTACAACACTTCCGCTACAGAAAAATTGGCGTAAGAACAATTTTTATGCAATTTCATGATATTACCTTTCCTACTTTCCGAAGCACTTTCCTCAACTACTGGATTCGGCTCTTTTTCCTTTCCCCCCCACCTGCAAATTTTTACATGTAAATTTGTTGACCACATTGTCCAATTGTTATGAAAATTTACATACAGACTAGTAAGGCCACGACAAACATATTTGGTCTTCATACTCAACCTCGTAAAACCACTCGTTACACTAATATATTGAAGCTCGTGTGAGGTGGGGGGGGGGGGGGGAAGAGCCCGTTTTTTTTTGTTTACTTGCGTTATTTGGTTTTTTCCAACTCTCTGTTGGCTATGTTTGTTAATAGGCTGATTAAAGGCATTGAACGAAGTTAAAACATTAATTCATGGAGGTTTGACTTTTGATTTTTTTTTTAAAATTCAATTTAAAGGAAAACAAATACCGCTGTCCAATATCGAAAAAAATGTGAAAAAACGTGATTTACTACTTCTAGGTTTGAAAGTGTATTTTAGTTTTCAGTATTCCCAGGGGTTGAAAAGTATAGCTCTTTCTAATTAGGTTAATTTTATGCCCAAAGTGTCAAATGTTTAAATTTTCTTGAAATCCAAAGGGCGTTAATGTGAATTGTTTTTTCTCTGAAGTTCGAAGTTTGAAAAATTCGCTCTCCAATGTCGAAAAAGCTAATAGTGCGAGAATAGATTATTGTCTATACGTTTCAAAAGTGAATGTCAAGTTTTAGTTTTCCCAGCGGGAAAAAAACATTTGAATGGTTTTTCAATATATATGCATTTCATCAGAATATTTTTGATGAAAAAAGTCAGTCATTTTTTACGGTTTTCCTGAGTTCATTGATACTTCACTCTTTGTTAGCTATGTTCATGGTGTTGACAACTGTAGAGAATATCTAAATAAATAGTTGTGTTTTAGGGAGTTCTTCAATCAGGCCTGGGTGAAGGAAGACAAACAGGAGAAGGCGCCCAAGATATTGCTAACGACCAAACGATTCAACGATGTGAGTCATCTCCCTATTGTAACACTTTTCTTATGGGGAAATTGACTCAATGAGTTTTTTTTAAAGTTTTTTAACCCGTAATGAAAATTGTCAAATAAGCTCATGTTTTCCCCTCCAAATGTTAAATTTAACTAGTAAATCACTGATCACTTAATGGCAGGTGGGTTTAAAGGGCTCGGACGCCCCTCCACACTCGGGGATTCGACCTACTAGCCACTATAGAGTCCTCTCTTTGGATTTACTTTCGACTGCCATTTTCGGCCGACCGACCATAAAATTTTTCTAAAGGCGCCTTGGACGCCAATATACACTAATTTGATAAAGAGAACGCGCCAAAGAAATGCTATTTTTTAGTTGAAACTTTTCAAAAAGTGTTAAATCCTTGGATCCGAATTTTGCTAAAGAAATTGCATCATAGTAATTCTGTTAAAATTCTGAGAAACTTTATTTTATGGGCTGATAATTGTTAACATCTACGATTGATTCTTAATGGTTTCATAGAAATTGGCTCTTGTTTAGGTATCTACCCTCGTGGCGACAACTATCCTCCGCGAGGGGACGGAGAAAGGTAGGGCGGCCGTAATTGAAAAGTGGGCTGGAGTAGCTGACGTCTGCAAGGGACTTCACAACTTCAATACAGTACTGGAAATAGTGTCCGCCTTTGGACGCACCCCCGTGTACAGACTGAGGAAAACATGGGATCGCATATCTAAGCAGGTGACTGCTCCCCACCTACGAGATTTTCTTATTTTTAGTCTTTCATTCGTTTCCTTGATAGAATTCTATTATATATTTAAATGCGGGCTTCACTTTCTCGCCATGCTTAAGATTTTTCAACGTATTATTTTAGCATGTTTTTTTTCGATTTTCCAATTTGAATTCAGTGCTTGTTTCACCGAGTTTAAAATAATTAGCCCAATAGTGGATGTTGCCAGGGTTCTTCAACGAGTTGCGAGTTTGGCCTCCAGTTATAAATACCCTAATCCTTTTAGTGTACGAGATACGACAATTTTTGTGATTTTTTTTTCAAAGTTTTTTCAGACAGCCTAAATTAATTTTTTTTTTCAAAACTTGTAATTCCTAGCCCTGTACTTGGATGCTTTCAGGGTACTCTTAGGCGTTGCGAATCTTGCCTCCAATTATGACTGTTCAAATCTTTGTAGTTTTCGAGATATGACGTTTTTTGTGATTTTTTCAAAAATTTTCAGAAAATTTTAATTAATTATTTCTCCAAATTTGAAATTGCCAGAGTACTCTAAGGAGTAACAAATCTTGCCTCCAAATATGACTCTTCAAATCCTTGTAGTTTTCGAGATTTGACTTTTTATGATTTTTTCTAAAGTTTTCAGTAAACTTAGATTTAAAACAAAATTAAAAATCCCCACCTTGTAACTGAGTGCTGCCAGGGTACTCTGAGTACGACTACAAAAATATTTGTAATTTTCGATGTTGCAGATCTTGTGCGTTTTTTTTGTGAAGAGTTCGAAGCACCGGAGGTGCGTTACACGCTAGTTGCTTTAATTAAGAGTCGATGAACGTAGTTCAAACTCTTGAATAGGTCGTGATGCCTTTTCAGGAAAAATCCTAAAATTGTCTTGAAACAAAAGAAGTGCATTCATACTTTTAAAAAACACATATGAATGCCTTTAGGTATATTTGCGTTTTTTGAGTTTAATTCAAGTTGGGCAAAATTGGGCGAAATGCACTCCCCTGTTAAGAAAGCTGAAATTAAAAAAAGGTGATCAATTTCTCGTTTCGAAAATGAAATTTGATTTTCAGATTTCCCTGTGGATTAAAAACTTTTCCTAGCATTCCAGTTTTATCAAACCGAGTTAATTTAATCAAAAAGTGTCAATTATAAATTTCTCGTGAAGTTCACAGAACTTAAACGCCATCGTTTGAAATTCGAAAGTTTAGTTTTTAAGACTCTTTTCTAACTGTCTGATGGCATTATTTTTTTGAGTATGCTGTTAGAAAACGCAAAATGTTGGCTCAGAATGATCAAAACGAACATAACTGAGTTAGTTTTAAGCAAATCTGGTTGAAGCCTTTATTTCACGAGATATGTTGTTTTTACTTCAGTCACGAGGAATCATTGACAAGCTACAGAACTTGGTGTCGACAGATGGACACTTTAAGAATCTCAGAGATGCTCTGCATAAGTGAGTTCTAGAATTGTTTTGAGGCGCTTTTCGTTTAAATGTCGTCCAAAATACGTTTTTATAAATTAAATTAATCAATTTTTTGGCTCTTTTCCAGTTTCCCACCCCCCTGGTAAGATTACACAACGAAGCTGTTCAAAAATTGTTCACACCGCATGTTGCATGTTAGAATTTTTATAACATTTTGTTGACCTGTTCACGCTGCCACGTTGTAATTTGATTTATAACATAAAAAGTCATTTTAAACAGACTTTCACGTAATGAATTTCAGAGAAAATCAAAGGGGGGGACTGGAAAAGAGCCATTTTTTGTCTCGGTTTCATCACGTGTCGTTTCTGACACATTCTTTAGTGAAAATTTAGATACAGCTTTGCAGTTTTCAGATATTTCAGATATTTTCCCGAAATGTTACCAGTTAACGCAGGGATGCGGTTTGATTTGAACCCGCTATGTGTTTTGTTTAGGTGTGACCCCCCTGCTCTGCCCTACTTGGGCATGTACCTGACAGATCTGACCTTCATCGAAGATGGAACCCCCATGGTCACTGCAGATGGACTCATCAACTTCTCACGCATGCGCATGGTGAGTATATTGGTTATTTGCTGAAGTTGAAGTCGTGAGCCACAGGTTCCTCAGGAATTGTTTCAAAAACGTGCCCTGGTAGAGCTTTCCTGTGTCGTTTTTTTTTCAGAAGTCTTAAAATTTGTTCAGGCTCAATTTTGGTTTTTTTTTCGCGTTTGATTTTTGATTTCTTTTCAAGTTCAGTTCATATCCTTTGTTAAAAGGAAAGCAAACTCTACTATCGAGCAGCATAATTGTAAAGGTTGCGAAAAAAGTGATCGAATTCTAACTTCAAAAGTGGGATTCAATTTTCAGATTTCCCAGCGTAAAAATTTTTTACTTATTGATCCAGTTTTCTCAAATTGGGTTAGTTTTATGCAAAAACGTGTCACCCATAAGTTGTTCTTGAAATTCAAAAAGCTTTAAGGGCATCCATGTTTTTCTATGAAATTCGGAAGTTGAGATTATTTCAAAAAAAAGTGTATTTTTTGTTTTCTTGCATTCATTGACTCTTTTCCAAGTTTCGGTTGGTTATGTTCTAATTATACCGACTGTTGTGCTTTGTTTTAGATCAGTAACGTGGTGCAGGAGATCAGACTCTACCAGCAGACACCTTACCAAGTGGAGCTCAAAGCTGACGTCATCAAGTGGATTCTACAGCCAGGCCATGTCTGGACGGAAGAACAAATGTACAACAGGTCTCTGGAACTGGAGCCCAGACCAAACAGCACTCAAACACATTCGAACCACAACACGCAGCATCAGAACAGCAGATCTCACAATTTATGAGAAAACACAATCGAAACTACTAGCCATTGGACATTTGATGGACACGAGAACTCCTGTAACGCTACTCAACATGACAATGCAGCAATAGATAAAATCATTTCTGAAAGAAAAACAAATGTCAATGAACCGTTGACTAGCTGGTGAAATAACCCGGAAATAGGTCGATATTGTTGTCCAGACCGATCAACCGAAATGAGAGACTTCAGAAGGTTGCTAGAAGAACATCAGAAGGTTGCTATTCAAAGGTCAACAAAATGAAGCTGTTGATTCCAAATAACTTCTGCGATGAGTGTGCCTGTAATTCGAGAGGATTCCTAGATTACGCGTTAGGAAATCCAAATGCTTGCGTTCAAGTTCTTGACCTAAATTATTTGAAAAAAAATGTGAGCATGGTTCTCGTTTCAATAAAACTTACAAAACTATCGATTTAATTAATTACAAAACAATTTGGTTGGCTTTTTTGAATCCTATCCTAACTTCTGTGTTTTAAACTATTTTCCTGGTCGCTTTTAGAAAACTGAAGTTAATCAGACGACTAGTTTAATTATTTTGATACTGCGAGTGACTTGATTTTTCCTTATCATTCCATATTTCCAATGTTTCCATTTCTATCAAAAAGGAGAAGCTTCCGAAAATAAATTTTTGTCAGTTTGATGCTGAAGGTGCGTGGAATAAATCTGTAAATTATTTTAATATAAAATGAGAGTTTAATAAATGTTTAGATTTTAAATGTGGCTCGAATTAGAAATTGAGTGATAAACTTTTTCAATTCTGTAGCTGAAACAAGATGTTATTGGGGCTATGTTTATGCTAGTGAACCTTTTTTCCAATCTAACTCGCAAATAAAAGTGCTCAAATGGTGGCACTTTTGCTATAATCACGATCTGTAACATTGGAAATTTCATATCTGTTCTGTGCTTCATTTTTGGCTGCTTTTTCGTTATTTTTTTTGGTTAGTGTTTGCGGGCATCCGTTTTTTTCAGTTACCAGCAGCTTGTCTACAAACCTTTCTAGAGTCATTTGATATCATTTGAGCAGCTGTTCAAGCTACTGATTCTTCTCATTGGTCAGATCAAGTTCCAAGCTCAAATTTGACTTATGTTGGCTTGAATTTTAAATTTTTAGATTCAGTGAACGCCATTCTGTAGGTCGCGATGGTTTGTTTGTTTTGTTTTTAGGAAAAGTCTTCAAATTTGTTCACGCTCAAATTTGATGATTGCGGTTTGACTTTTGATTTTTTTTATAACTTCAGTTATTTCCTTTTTTTAAAAGGAAAGCAAAATCGAAAAGCCTTATAAATAGAGCGTGAACAAATTGAGAGACTTTCCTGGAAAAAAAGAATAAATCTTCACAACCTATATAAGTGTCCTCACTACGCTCTTTTTTGGATAATGCGTTTATGAATGCCACTAATTATATATACTTTTTAAAAATTAAATTTTAAATCATTTGCTGTAAAGAAGGCAAGTTACACGCTCTAACTACGTAACAGGAAACGGCGCAAAAAAACGTGAACATTTAGTTTTAAAAGTGGATTTTTTTAAAAGATTTTCCATTGGAATAGAAAACTTACTTACTAATCCAGTTTTCTCAGTCAGTAATATTCTTCTGTTTCCTTGCGATCATGGACTCTTTTCCAACTGTCTGTTGCCTGTGTTTTTGAAGTTCAGTTTGAATTCATTCGCTGAAAACATTCAATTTACACTCCTAATTAGGAAATGCAAATGGTGCGAGAAAAGTGTGAATCATTTCAGGTTAGAAGCGGATTTCCCAGCGAAGTAAAAATTTACCTATTGATCCAGTTTTTTCAATTAGGCTAGGTTTATCAAAGAAGCGTTGATCTTAAAATTTTCTTGAAGTTAAAAGAACTTAAATGTGATATATTTTTTTGCTGAATTTAAAATATGAAAAAAAAATTTGCCACTGTTTGATGGCTATATTTTACCCTGGCCAATACCTATCCTTGTTGCATGCTGGAAGTTTGCGGCTCTGAAGCTTTCGTATTGTCGTAAGTCTGCTCCTTTTCTTAGACTTGATTACTTTTATCATTATTTTATTTTCTTGGGTTCATTGCCCTTTTCTAACTGTATTTTGGTATTTCTCTTTACATTATTACTGGTGTTTGTAACTTAGTTAAGCTGTCTTCGGGTGTTGTAGTTTTCAAACTTTTTCAAAGTGTTTTCACACAAAATCCGATGCCAAAAATAATCATCGGAATGGGCCAATAATTGCTTTATAGTCAATACCTTGCAACCGCGATTCGAAAGACATCTAAAAAGCTCTAAAAACTTTTCAGTGTTGAGAAAAGCTGATTAAAAGTTGTTGATATTGTTGATCTAATTTCTAGCAAATAAGCGACCGAGCAGGCTTATGATAGGGCGATAAGCTTTTAGAAAAGCCGTTTAATTGTAATTTTACTTCAATAAATTTTGTTTTCGAAGTTTCATTTTGCGCCTACCTGAAATTGAATAGTTTTTTTTTTCATTTTTCATATTTTTTGAAAAAAAATTGTTTTTTGTATTCATTTTTCGAAGAAATCTTGTCAAATTTGCCTAAGTTCATCGCTTTTGTTCAGATCATTTCATGACACCACGGACAACAAAAGACACTATTTGATTTCAAAAATACACTGTTTCAAGTTTTTTTTATTATTGTGGTCGAAACTTTCTGTGCTTCTATGAACTTTCTCCAATCCATGATTTTGTTTTTCCTGACATTGAGTTGTCCACCACATTGGCTCCGTGGAGCAATCGGCGATCATTTATTCATTCACGATGTGGGACAATGATATCTACTTGTGGCATTGTGATTCTCCCGTAGCGATGGTGTCCAGCAATTATATGATTGCTGAATTTAAATTGCACATGCGCTGAAATTTGAGAGATGAACTCTTGCAGGTACTTGTGATGCAGAAAGAATCTCATCCTTGCCATGCTCCTAACTACTAGACTTGACCTTGTTCTAATTTTGAAGCTGTACACAGCCATCTTACAGATAGATTGTAGGTTAAAAACCACAAAATCGTGAAACATATCTCGTAGTCTGGTTTCTACGATTCTTTCCACAAGATCATCTCTTCGATTGCTGATCAAGTGACTGACATTTCTGCTCGCATCTATAACCGTGTACTCTTGCCATTGTTACATGGGATCATTGGAGACCATAAAATTTCCGATTTTCCTTTTCTCAATAGACCAGCCATGACTAGTGTAGAAATTCCGATGAGTCAGCATTTAGCTCAAGATAGATCTTTCCACCAATCAATTTCTAAAAAAAACAATGCTACCATCTTCTGGGGCTTTATTGGGACTTTTGATGACCAGAGTAAGCTTTTTCACAATCCTAAGTCTATTCGAGTTTTTTATGGTAATTGTTCAAAAGTTCTGCTTGGCAAATGTTGCATCGGAAGCTCATTCAGCACGAGACATGGTGAGCGCCGAACTATCTGAAAGCTCTGTTATATCTGATGAAACGGATACACTGCGTTTAAACATAAAACCAGGTTTCATCTGTTGCTGTTTTTCGTGAAGTTTAAGCGGTATGAATAACCATTTTGGGGTAAGTCAGGCCGGCATTTTTTTCTTCTGATTATGCTTAGCAAATACGGCGAATTAATCCAGCTCAGAAATTATTCCAAATTGAAATGAGGAGCACGAATTGTCTATATGATGAGTCAGCTGATGCGAAACCTATGACTTCGTTGAACATTGTCCGTGGGGGATTTTCTTATCTAAGGCGTTGCATCTGTTGCTTTTTTTATCTTAGTTTGCTTATTTTTAGTTTGTTTCATTTAATGAAAGTTACTGAGATGAGACAAGCCGAGTACAAGTTACGCTCCTCATCAGCTAAATTTTAAATTAAAATAAATAATGGAAGAAGTAAGTACTTTTGATACAGTGTTCCCAGTTTATATTAATTTTTCGCAACAAATTCTTCTGATGAACATAAAGAAAACTCGTTCTGAAAGCAATATGTTATAGGAAATGTAAAAACTGCTAAGCTAGTAAATTTCATCGAACTTAGAGGTTTTGTAGTTCTAATGCAACCCTGTACGATGTTATTGGTGAACCATGCGAATGTGCACTTCGAATGATTTTTTTCTCGACGGGATAATGCACTTCGGGAATAAATATGCTGGGATGATTTTTTTTACTCAGACCAATTTAACAAAACTCTTTACTCCCTCGGGGGCTTGATCCCCTGACCTGCATGGGCCCAGCTGCGTGTGCACACAATTATAGAATCAGGCGCACGAGGTCATCTACACTGCTCGTTATCTACACGTGGCGAATTATCGCGCACTACAAAATCGTTCAAATGAGGCAGCTAACTGTTTTAATTAAGTATTTACGCGACTCAAGTCTTAACTCAAAAATATTATCAGCCTAATGTTCATAGTTTTGCCAATATTCAATATACCAAAATTTTTTTGAGACCAATTAAAGGACACTCAGAACATTCATGTTGTTGCCCTGCTACGAGCAGTCTTGTTTGTTTTCGGTGTGATTATTTTTTCTTCAGCAAATGTTTGACTCTTTTTACTCACTTTTGAATGGATCTTTTATACCATCTGAAAGGTATTGACATCCTGCGCTCAATTTTAAAAGGCTGTTCAACCTCTTATTATGTTTCGAAAAGTTATTACGGTTTGGAAAATGACAATGGCTAAAATGGGAAAATAACACGCGATTTTTTTCGTTCTTAAAATGCGTTAGCGGCGATTCAATCCGGCTCAGAAATCGTTTCAATTTGATTCTAGTTATTTTATTTGGAACTATTAATACGTTGCTAGAGTTGCTAGACGCTAATTGCATATTTTTATTTTTTAAATAGCGGGCAGAGGGGATTCTTTTCATAAGAAATCTGACTTATTTCTTAGATCTTAAAAAATTGTCGGAACTTTCAGATTTTTGTTCTGATACGAGCACTCTTGTATGGTTTTTCTGTTTCTTTTTCCGAGCAGATCGGAAAATACATTATACGTTAATAGAAGAAAAGTAGCAAATTTTTAGTTTAAGCATCTAATCGTTGGAATTCGATGCTCTCAAAAAGAATTTTTTTTGTCTTAAAATTTTTCTGTAAACAAACGTTCGTTAAGCTGAAGTAACTTGTTCTGGGTTTTTTCGGAAACATGTCTTAAAAGCACTATTTGTAACGAATTTCAAAAACTGCTAAGCTAGTAAATTTTATCGTACTTAGGAAGTTTGTCTTTTTAATGTGGATGTAGATGTTATGTGAATGTAGATCATGTGAATGTGGATTTTAAAGAGCTGTCGGAGCGTTCAGATTTTTGTCCTGATACGAGCAGTTTTGATGGTTTTTTTGAATTTTTTCCAAGCAGATCAGCAAAGAAGTTAAGCGGTAATATTTTACTTTAGGAAGTGCATTTAATCGTTGGAATTGTCAGCGAACATTAATGATCCATTTGATTCGGTGCTCTCAAAAATTTCTCGTGTTAAGTTCAAGTAAGTTGTTTTGGGTTTTTGGAAACAAAGGTTTTGAATCAAAGAATTCTTGTTATCTCTGCAGTGATTCATTGGAAACTCAGCTAAATTAAAACACTACTCGAGGTCAATTGAAAAATCTTTTCAAGTACAAGAAAAATCGGCTCAAAAATCAACCTCAATATTTTAGATTAATGATGATAAACATCTGACATTTAATTTCTACAGAAATGCAAAATTCGGAAAAAAAATCCGAACAGAACTGTCAGTCTTAAGTTCTACTTTTCATGGTAGGGTGGTAGATAAGCCATCCGAAATTCAAATTAGCCACTTAATAAGCCAGCCGAAAATGGTGCAAAGCTAATAATTCGCAATATGCAACAGTTAAATAACAGTTAGCTGGTATTATGCTTATCTAATTTCACCGGAAATGACATGAAATCTGGCTGATTTATACACTACCGTCTCCTTTCATTTTGTTAATTCTTTGGCTAGGTTTTCCACATGCATAATATAGTCATATAGTTGTTTGTTGCTCTGTCTTTTCGGGCGAATGAATGCGTGTGTGAACAAATTGCATTTTATGACTTTTCTTGTGAAGAAATTGTGCTTTATCAGTCGAAGTGAGAAAGATTTTCATGTTAAATTCTGCCGATAAAAGAACCATACCATATAAACTATGTTTGCACGTGAACCACAAACCATCGCAGTTGATTCTTTATCTAGCTTAGCTAACCATCTGAATCAAGGTTATAAGCTTTTACTTAAATATCTGATTTCTACGCGAGTATTATTTTATGGGCCAGCCTTGACATTACTAAACTGCAAGTGAAACTAGCTGACATAAGCTAATCCAGCTGTAACTTAGCTTACTGAGCTCTTTCATATACAGCAGCATCTTTATTTCATCGATTAGAAAAAGGTAAGACACTGAAAAAAAAAAGAAAAGCTGATTTGTTCAGACATTTAATATCAGTTAGTTAAGTTAGTTAAAATCTTTTTGACAAATTTCATTCTTGAGATTTTCTAGTTTTTAAATAAATCCATTGGCTTTGAGTTTCCCTACTATTAGCTCTTGTTAGGGAAAAGGCATCTCTTTTCTTTCGTGTGTCATGTGTAAGTAAAGCTCCACTTGAATGCTGAATGTGTATTGATGCATGGGAGATATTAGCAAATAGTTATCCACACTCAAGTCCGCAATATACATCCGGTATTTTTTTTCAGATCGAATTTAGATTGCTGTGCATTCAGTTATATATAACTAGTGTAGCTTGCAACCATTATTTGACCCATACAATCCAATTGAACATTTAACATCATTAAAAATCCTGATTCTCACAGATCGCAACCAAATCGATTGTTTATCATAGTTCCAATGGCCAGCAAAAGCACTGACGTCGAGAATGTTGCCGCGAAAGTCGGGGAAGTTTCATTGTCGGAATCAAAAGGATCGAAAAGTCAACGGAAAATTGTGATAGCAATTGACGCTAGTGGCCATTCGGAGAGGGCTCTCAGGTGGTACTTGAACAATTTCCACCGAGATGGTGACCATTTGTTTCTGTTCCACGCGGTGGAGTTGCCGACCATCCCAGTGATCGGATCGGGAGAGTTGTTTTATAAAGAGACTCTGAACGAGATCATCAAAGAGAAACACGAAGAGATCAAAAAGTTGACTCTCAAGTTCGAACTGGTTAGTTAACTTGTTGATAAATCATTTGCTGAAAGAATTTTTGGATTATTGCGCAAAGCCCCCTATCGTTCGCCTGAGGGGGCAGTAGCGGGTTTAGCGAAGGGTTCGGCGGACGCACCCCTCCCTCCTCGGGAATTGGACCCGCTGACCACCGCAAGGTTGCCCTTTGGTATAGCTTAAGCATTCTATCGCTCCAAAGACAGGCGAGTTCGGAGCGATAGTGTTCACAAACAAACAAATAATAAATTTATCTTGTAAAATTACATTATACGCGCCGCGTATAGTTTGTGGATTCCGCTTACAATTTGTGGATTCCTTTTCCAGTTGCGGATTCAGCGACAGCGTAACTTTACTACATATATTATTTGTTATTCCGACCATTTGAAAAATGGGAGGAACTTTGTATTCGGATTTGTTTTCGTTTTTTTTTTCTTTTTTTTTCTTTCACGCACAATCAGCTGCCACAAATAATTATCGGAGTGATTTTACTGATATTTTATATTAGGCAATTTAAGTCGTGATGATTCGATCGACATTACAAAGTTTTTAAAAAGTTTTCCCAGTGTTGAGAAAAACCGATTTAATTTTTTGATTTATAGTCTAATTCCGAGCGAGTAAGCGAGCGAGCAGGCTTACAATAGCTTATTTTGATAGCTTAAGAGCTTACAATTTTAAAAGCCCTCAAACTTAATACAAAAGTTAGTTAAAGAATAAAGTCAGTTTTTTTAGTTTTTTAGCGTCTTTTTGGAATCAAAACCTTCAAAAATTCAAAAAAAAACTGCAAAAAACTTGTTAAAGTTTTTTTTTTTTTGGTTCTTAGTTATTTCTCTATAAAATGTGTTTATTTTGCATAATTTTTTACAATGAATGTCGAATACTCCTTGGTTTTTTGTTGATCCGTTTATCACACCACGCAGAAAAAAACGACACCAATTTGAAAAAAAAAAAAATTTTGTTGTATATTTTTAAGACTATGGTCGGAACATTCCATTCTGTGCTTTTTGCACAGTAACCGGCTGTCATTGTTTGTTTGTGAATTCCACAAACTTCCGGATTTTGCAAAATTTTGTTGCGGATCCCGCAATTTTGCCTGTTTTTGGTGTGATTTTGAGCAATGGAGTGCTCAAAATATCTTGTAAAAACTAGCATTGTTGCTGATTTCGCGACAAATCTGTTTTAGTTTTGTTGTCGAATTTGCTTACAATTCACTAAGTACACAGTTTGGCCTCGTAATGTTTGCTGTTTTCCCAAATTCGTCTGCGGAAATGCAATTTTATGAAAAACGAACCCTGATAGTGCTTTCGGAGGTCCCGAGAAATCAGTTTGGTCGGCCTAAAAAAGATCGTCATATGTTCCATTTTTTTTGAAAAACTTATCTATCCTTCAAGAAGTGTGAAACAAGTTTCCCGGTGTAGCAGCTCAACACGTGCAAACAGGGGACTATTTTTGGAAAAAAAATTCTAAGAGACATTGTGTAGGAAGCTACTGATTCAATCGAACTGTTAGTATTAAAAAAAGAAAAGGGATTGATTTCGTTCTGACTAAGTTTTTTGCAACTCCTTAAGTTGCTGGTCTAAATTGTTTGCGCTTCTGAGCTTTTATAATAACGCTGAACGCCTAAGCGTGGTTTGTTTGAGCGTAGCTAGTCTATCCAAATTCTGAAGCGTTTAAAAAACTATTCCAAAGACATTGGTCCCACAAACACTATACCAGGCTCAACAGGGGCGGATTTTGGTAGGCGGCTTAGTGGACGCCTACCCCCCTCCCAATTATTCGACCCCCTGTCTACCCAAAGGTTTGTTTTCGGTCACGGCGCATTTCTTTATTTTCTGCCATTTTTTTTACCGTTTCTTAGAAATAGTTTTGCCGTTTGTTGGTGGTTTTTCAAATTTGTAAAAAAAAAGATTTACCGTTTGTTGGTGGTTTTTCAAACTTGTAAAAAAGTTCTTCCGTTTATTTGTGGTGGTTCAAATTTGTAAAAAAAAAAAGATAAAATGCTGTCTTAGACAATTTTGCTGTAAGACATGGAAAATTAGCAAGAATCTGAATCAGTATGAATGGTAATCTGAAAAATAAATATCCCCAAAACAAAGAATCTTCTGTTGTGAAAAACCGCCTCCTGGATCTGGTATCGATTAGCTCAATCATTGGTATCGATTAGCTCAATGAACTGTTCTTAGTAGTATAATTGTTCAGATTTTTTTTAGATCATCAAAAAAGATAACTTGAGTGCGACTTTTAACGCCCGTGACGGAGACCCCCCGGGACACAACATAGTTCACTACGCGCGGGAGAAGGATGCCGACTGCATTGTCATCGGCTGTCGTGGACTCGGCAGCATCCGAAGAACTATTCTCGGCTCAACCAGCGATTACGTTATTCATCACGCCCATTTGCCCGTGATAGTCGTGCCGCCAGTCCATCATTAAACATTCGAATAGAAAAAATCGCGAACAAAACTGGTTTACGTGTACGTTTTAAAAAACTACCAAAACTCAATAGCTGGTTGCTCTGCTATTTCAAATGGCCGTAGTTGTTCCAAAGTTACTCTTGTAAATCTGATTGTCTTACACTTTAAATTACAAAATCTTTGATTGTCTCACCAGCAATTTTACACAATTTTTATCTTGTAATTCAACTACGAGTTGTAAACTAACAATATCCAATATATTTAGATCAATATGAGAACTTCGAGTTTTCTCAATAAATATTTAAGTTTGCGTATTTTTGGGGAGCATAATTTATCTAAGAGATCGTTTTTTTTTTGCATTTCTATACGATAGCGATTAAAAACTCGCAGAGCTTATGCCTCGTAGACGACGATGATTTGTACTTTTCTCAATTTTAGGATTTCCCATGCATGGTAGAGACGTTTTCGGCGTTCTATTGACTATCAAAGGTCTGATTTTGGTTGCCAGAGGCATCAAATTAGAAGTGCTTGTTTTCTTCTTCGCCTTCGAGTGCACTTCGTTCGTAACAATTACGTCATCGTAAACCTCAATTTTAGCTGTGCTTTGATTGGTCAGAATTGATTTGATCTGTTCCGTGTTCATGATAGACAAGTCTTCATTCGGCAACTGTACAATAGTATGTTTTGATGTCCTCCGACTATTGTTATCTTCAAATTTCAAGTCGCCTTTGTCGTTATAAATATTGATGTCAATTTCATGCGGATCATGAGGCTCAACATTGTTATTGTTTGACTCTATAGTTTCTGGCACATCGCTGTTTGACTTCTCAACATAGCTAGTACTAATTAAGTACTTTTTATGACTGTTCAAATCTTCAACAAGGTGATCTCCGGCTGATAGTGACAAAATAGCCAGGTCCAGATTTTCACGTTCTGGACGCAACTGGGTGGTACTGGTTTTGACTCCGTCTCTGTCCGAAGTCTGGTTATGGGAAGTAGAGGGGGAGGGGGAGTATTTGAGTTCAGTTTGGCCGTCGTGGAATAGATACTCCTCGTCCAGTCCGCCCTCGAATAGAATTCCTGTGGTGACGAATGTGTTCTTCCATGAGAAACATCTAGACATATATATTACTATTAGCCTCATATTTTTTCGCTAGTGCTGACTCTAAAAAAAACATGCCCGCAGTCATCCCCCGTGCTACTTTTTAAAAAAATCAATTTTTGGCTGACCGAACCTGAAATTTTTCAAAAATCCGCCCCCCCCCCTCGAGAAAATCCTAGATCCGCCCCTGCGCGCAGTGCAAATTTTAATACGATAACTCCCAACGCATTCGACCCCTGCCGACCCAAAGGCTCCCCCCTATGGTACTTTTTAAGAAATCAATTTTTGGCTGACCGAACTTAAAAGTTTTCAAAAATCCGCTCCTCCTACCCCACCCCCCCCCCCCCCCGCCCCTCGAGAAAATCCTAGATCCGCCCCTGCCCGCAGTGCATATTTTTATTCGATAACTCCCAACGCATTTTTAATGTCAATAGATAGCTGAAATTTTATTTGGACTTTTTAAAACGATAAATTTATTGAAGCATACGGTACGTGAGCACATTCAATAACTCTTGCAAATTATTACCCTTGCAGCTACTAAACTATTTCAATCTGACAGTGAAAGTGAAAATGGAAAAACAAAACAAGTCGAGTAGAATAAATAAGTCGGCTAACTTTTTGCGGGCCAGGTCAAAAATAATGATGACGAGAGCGAGGAAGATAAGGATTCCACTGATAGGTAAGATCCGGTTGATTAAGGGGATGTCTTCCACCGTCCTCTGGTCTGAAACGATTTTTCTTGATAAACATATCAGAGACTCGAGTCCCATATTAATCGGCCAGGGGAATACCTTGACTTCAAGAGTCCAGAAAAATCCTGCTTTTACTGGCAAGAGACATCCAGGATTCCTGCCAAGAAGTCTAAGATATACTTTTGAAAACCTTTGAAAAAAATGCATCCACCTTTTTGTTCCGACCATTGAAAATGGGGAAGAACTTTGTATTCGGGTGTTTTAGTTTTTTTTTCAACTTTTTGTTTTCCACGCAAAATCAGCCACCACAAGTTATCATCGGACAAAGTTGAGTGATATATCAAATTAAAGACCTTTTATCGCAACTCGAACGACATAAAAAAATTTGAAAAAACGTTCACAGTGTCGAGAAAAACCAGATTGAAATGTTTGGTCTAGTTTCGAGCTAATTAGTAAGGTAGTTAGTAATTGCAATAGCTTATTTAAGCTTAATTTAAGCCGTGAAAATTTAGTTTTACTCAAGTAAAGGTAGTTTTTGGAGTTTTTTTAGCGCAACTTTAGGAATCAAAAACTTGAAAATTCAAAAATATCCGCAAAAAAATTTTTGAAACTTTTTTTTCAATTTTCCAATTGACCTATTTTACTAAGAATCTCAAATATTCCTAAGTTTTTTTTTCTTTCGTTCAGATTTTTTTATCACAACATGCAGAAAAAAAATGACAACAATTTGAGAAAACATTTTTGTATTTTTTTTGGACTATGGTAGGAACATTTTGTGCTACTTGCACAGTAACCGAATATCCTTGTTTATGATATCTAATCGATGGAAAAGTTGAAGCGTCGTAATAATTCACTATGAAATGAAAAAAATCTTTGAAAATCAGGCCACGAAATCAGGCCTGAAATTTTTTTTCGATTTTCCAATTGACCTATTTTACTATGAATTTCAAATATTCCTAATTTTTTTTCTTCCGTTCAGATTTTTTTTATTACAACATGCAGAAAAAAAAGACAACAATTTGAGAAAACATTGTTGTATTTTTTTGGACTATGGTAGGAATATTTTGTGCTACTTTCACAGTAACCGAAAGTCCTTGTTTATGATATCTAATCGATGGAAAAGTTGAAGCATCGTAATAATTCACTATGAAATGAAAAAATCTTTGAACATCAGGCCTGGACACCTGCTAAGTACCTTTCCAAGAAATCAATGAAATCGACGTTTCAAAGTTTTTGAAAAAAAAATATTACATAATTTATGAAAAAAATTACAATGTCTCGAAACTGTTTGTATGCTTAAACCAATTTGTCGAAAAAAAATATTTTTGCATGCAAAATTTGTGAAAATAACGTGTTTCAGACTCATTTTTCTACTCAAATTACCCAAAAACCACTATCATAGTTTTGTGTAAAGCCACATATTTTTTTTGTTTATGTTGAATTAAAAAAACTTAGCCTTCGTCTGTCAAAAAACAGCCCACATTTTCAAACTTCGCTTTTTTAACGTAGAACTTCTATCTATATACACAAGATTACCCTTCTTCAAAAAATCTGTGTGAAAATTACTAAATTAAAATAAAAATCTATCTCCAAACGTAGTTTTTCTGCGAGTTTCTTGCCACTTAGCAAGCGGGTTCTCATATATAATAAAACACTTGGTTAATGTTTTTTTGAACAGGTTTGCATTCGTTGACATTTTTTCTAATTTCACCAAAACCTGGCAGTCAAGGCCTGTTCCTAAGAAAGTTGTTTGAAAACCAGTGCTAGACTCTTAAATCGATCCAGAAAGTCAAGGAAAACCCATGCAAGATGTTGACACATTTTTTTTCTGACATGGATTAACGGATTAAATTCCATGGACAGATAACTCGAGCAAAACCCTGAATGTTCTGACTGCACTGTAATTGTCTCGAAGTAACCTTTTTGGCAAAATAAATATTGGCAAATCTATGAATATTAGGCTGATCTTTTTTGTGTTGACATTTTAGTCGAGTATGGAATTGATTAAACCAGTCAGCTGCCTCATTTCAATTTGGAACGATTTGCAGCGCGGGATAATTTGCTATATATAAAGTACAAAATGAGCAGTTTAGACAGACTGGAGTTCGGTCAAAAACTAGAAAACTTTTATTTCATACCGGTCAAAAAGCAGACATATAGTACATTAACCAATCAAAATCGGGAACAAAGCAAATTTAGGGGAAAAAATATTCATAAAATTCGCTTCCTGTTTTCGATTCTGATCGTTTAATATAGTAATTGTCTTTTTTATGACGTGTCTACTTTATGACTTGTCTACATTTTGCTACGTAACCAGATAGACTCGTAGTAGGTTACTAAAGTGGCTAGGCCCATGCAGATCAAAAGATATGAAATATTGAAATATGAAGTTAAAATAACTGAGAGCGCCCCTCGGGATTTTTCAGGAATTCTTTCCATCTCTCAGGAAATGTTATTTTGGGAAAATGGTCTGAAAAAAGAACAAGTCTGCTCGTATACAGGGGCAATCGAAAAGCCCTGTATGTTTCGATTGCCCCTTAATCCATATTGAATAGTTTTTGGGTGAAGAAAATATTTTTAAAAAGTATTGGACAATATCAATGATCAATTGTGAAAATTTGAGTCGTACGAAATTAATACGACCGACTAGCTAGCCTTAGCACAATTTGGAACGATTTTGTTGAGTGATAATTCAGGATTATGAATAAAATTTTCAAAGCGCGCATAAATTAGCCCAGAGTATGGCCAAATTGGCAATTTTCAAACACCCTTAAATTTAGAAAAAATGATCAAAGGTATTTTTTTGATCGGAGGGATCGGAAAAATGAATTTTTGAATTTGATTTCGGGGAGTCCATATCTTCATTGGGGTATAAAAAAATTAATAAAAACTATTATTTCGGTAGCCAAAAATTGACCGATTAAAAAAACCACACCAAACATAAATATTCCGTTTTCTTCGAGATTCGGAACAACAAGCGTATATATTACTCACTTACCTAAAAAATCGGAACAACAAGAGTCAAAATTACAACAATGCAATATTTAACTACCGCATAAATTCATTTGATTTCTCTCGTAAAAAGAAAGGCAGGACAAAATATCAAATAATATTGTCTTGAACGAAAAAGAGAAGAGCGCTCAGGTTGAAATTGGTTACTTGTTCGTGCCACTCCCCCACTTTTCGGGTGAGGAATTTTGGAAAAGTTAGGAACTTTTTGAACGCAAAATCAGGTGCCTTAAAAACGCTCGCAGAGCATTAAGTGTATAGTTTTATTGAAAATTATTCAGTCCTGATAAGGATTCCGAAAAACAGGTCAATAGCATTGTCTCAGTGTCGAGTAAAACTAATCAGAATTTACACAGGAGACTTGTTTGCGTGCCACAGTCTCAGTCTGATTCTACTGTTCTTCATTTGAAAAAATGACTTTTCAAAACCAAGTTTGCCCATTTTTTTGTTGTTTTTCTGTACCATCTGAAAACATGCAAACCCTAAAATCACAATTCAACAATCTATTTCACCTGTGGCTCTTAAAAAAAAATGGTTGAAAAATTACCACGACAATAAATGGGCGCTTTTCTGTTAAAGCGTAGTGCTTGCGGCAAGTTGTTGCGGCGCAAAATTCATTCTCAATTCAAATGAGCCAAGCTATATGATCAATAGGTTACTAACACTCTGACACCCTGAGGTATTTAAAAACAAATCAAAATTTGGTCGAAATTTCTTAGGTCAAATTGATTTTCCTAGGTCCCCCAGAGCACAAACATTGAAAAAACTCTTTTTTTTGTCAAAAATTTTTGCACCTCAGTCATATTTGCAAAAAAACGCCGTTCTGGGGAGCTTGTTGGAATGGTTTGATCAAGAAAATGTTTTTTTTTGGCTTGCCGGTCCAATCAAAATAAGTATACATTAGCGTGGAATGAGCAATCAGAAATTTTTGAGGAAGGGTTGGCATATGGACGCCCTATTCTTTGGCAGGGACAAGTGCTGTAAAAAATTAATTTCAAATTTTTTTTTCAATTATAAGAGACGGATAATGATAACTTAAATATTCTCAACTTGGGATGAAATTTAAAAACTGCTTTTTCTTATCTATTCACTCTGGCTGTTGAACTATCTGGACAGCACAATTTCCGCAGCAGTTTTTCTGAACACAGAGAATTTTTTAAAGAGTCTTTTAGAAACCCCCCGTTCCTTCCCTTTTTGTAAGAACAAAAACAGGATTGGCACGCTAAAAAAACTGATGCGTTAAAATATTGCCGAAGAGTAAACTTAGAACTGTGAACGAGTTGAAATTCTGCCGAGGCGTTGATCTCTCTTACTGACTCTTTTCCAGCCCCCCCCCCCCTTTGATTTTTTTTCTGAAATTCAATAATGAAAATCTATTTAAAATGACTTTTCATGTTATAAATTGCATTAAAACGTCTCAGCGTAAACATGTGAACAAATTTTACAACATTTCTTACATTCGAAATACCGTGTGAACAATTTTGAACGGCTTTATTTAGTAATTTTACAAGGGGGTGGGAAACTGAAAAAGAGCCTTTTGTCCCAATGTCAATTTTTTAGCGAAAGTTACCTCTGTTTTGAAGAACCTTTGACGATCGTGCGAGAAAAACAATAACTATAATTTAGGATAAATCTGTGGACCTCGGCTTTTATTCTAGGAGACAGATTAGGTATGACGCAAGGTTATTCTTTGAAAAATATGTTCACCTTGCAAGACCTATTGAAGATGGTTGCTTTTCAAAAAAACCTTCAAAAAGGAATTTTAACAAAAAACTTACGATGTTGATCTGCGATGGTTGTGGTTGTTGACGTCATTTCTTCTAATGGTTTCCTTTGGAGGGCATATGAATAAATTTCAGAAATAATGGCTATTTCTTAAAAGCCTTCAATTGACCGTAAAATATTGTTTTTTGGTTTGAAGCTTTTAGTCTGATGAAAGAAAAATTCCGCCTCTAAAGCAGCCGAGAAAATACGAAATTTGAGCCATTACCGCAACTCGAAACGTTACAAGATTTCTTATGTCTTTTTGCTGAAAATGTCTGCCTTGACTGACGAAACAGTTTAAAACATTAAGCTTCAATCACTTTCGAAAGAATAACATTGATTCAAATCAACTGTGAAAAGTGTTCAAAAATATGCATAAAATAGATTTTTCATCTCAACAAAATGCGTCTACTACATAGAGCAAATAGTAAGAACACGCTAAGTTAAACAAAATACACACAGCAATTGACTCGGTTGTATCGTGACAGGTAACAAATTGGGCACTTTAAAATATTTACTTTTCGTTTTTTTTTAGAATTTTAACACTCGACGATCAAGTAGATCTTCAGATGCAAATTGAGAAAAAAACCGAAAATCTTTTTTGACCAGATTTGCAATTATGATTCGACCGAGTTAAATTAAGCGGCAAAGACTAATTAACATGCAATTTAATGCCATGCCGAATACACGTATTAGCGTAGCTTCGAAGCGCAGTTTTTTTAGTCATAACCGTATGAGTTTTTTATTTCGAAGCAATATCTGATCCAATGGCGTGCAATCTTCTATCATTTCTCCCCCACCTGAGATTTTTCATATTTGTCGAGGTTACCCGGTTGTCATTAAAAATAGCATGTGGAATAAGTAACCAGTTGAAAACACATTTTGCCTTCGTAAAGAACTTTTTACCCGATTTACCCGAACCAAGCTAACAGTTAGGCCATAAAATTGGTTAAAGTTTTCCATTTCGATAGCGGACACTCAATGAAACTACCATAAATTGAGAAAATTGGAGCAAATTGCTTCAAATGAAAAAAAAACTTTCAAAGTCAGCTATTTAAACAAGGAAGTTTTGGATCAAGTTAACATCCCGGCCAACATGTCTTAGCTAAAGCTAATGCGGAAGAATTTGATTGGCTGATATTAACCAATCAAACTCAAGCAACATGACCAGGCATGTCAATCAACCGTTTCAGTAGAAAAAAATCTTAGCCGAACTTAATGAGAATGTGAATCTTAATCAAATAGTAAAATTGGTTCCATGTTTTTTTTGTGAAATTAAACCCAAACGAAAAAAGTTCAGAAAAATGGTTTCTATCGTTTTGGTCATTTTGGCCAATAATTTTATCTGCTTCAAATTTTAATTGAAATGCCGAACCATGTTATTTGCATTTGATTGGCTAATGAACCAAACAGATTGAACCACATAATGACTTAAAATCAAGAATTAGAAATACTTATTTTGGGCCGTTTACTGCATAAGACCCCTCGTCAAGTACTTTTCCAACAGAATGAAATTCCGTCGAAACTATTTGTAAATTAAAGCCTACACAACTGCAGAACTAAAGTATTTTTGGTCCTTTTTATGGAGAAGACGGTCGTTATTCAAATCTAACTGCGTATAAACTAGTAAGCTTGAATATCCACCAGTGTCTCATAAAGAAAAAATTATATGCAAAGTACAGCCTACTCAGCTGCAAAAATGTGGATGGTCAAGTTAACTGCGTATAACCTGTTTAGCTTGAGCTATCAGCAGTATCTAAAAATATTCGAACTGATATGCAAAGTACCGCCTAAACAGCTGCAAAACTAAAACAATTCATTTAATGAAAAATCAAGCCAAAGAAAAACCAGAGAATTTGGTGAAAAATCAAGTTAAACTGCGTGTAAATTGGTTAGCTTCAGCATTTACCAGTGTCCAAAAATAATCGAAATGCATAGAACAGCCTACACACCTGCAGAACCGAAAAACTTCAGATTTTGGAGAAACTGTTGGTTGCTCACTTTAACAGCGTATAAACTGGTTATTTCGAGCACTGACCAGTGTCTCAAAAAAATTAAAATAATAAGCAAAATACAGACTGGCAAATGCTCAAGCTAACTGCGCCGAAATCCGGCTTTATCCAAATTTTGTAGCAATTCATCTGCTTTGCACAATTTCAATGGAGTTGAATTAATGTTTTATGACTTTTTACCATCTAGCTTACTTTTTATTTGGCTAAAAGGTGTTTTCGGTGCGGTGTTCGCTTCTGAAAATTGTTGCAACTGATATCAGTTGTCTTATTGTCGTTTTCGGAGAAGGCTTGTGCACAAGCCAAGCTATCAAATCTTCCCATAAAATATAGTAGACAGATTTCCGTGGTTTGTCGTGTAACTGTTGCTTTGCGGCTAGTCGGTGGCCTGGGGCGAGTTTAAATCTTGATAAACACACTCGCAATGCATGGTATCCTTATGATCCTCCCCTTTGGCTCCAGCATACTAATTTTGATGCACAGGTTAATTGTACAGATCTTTTTCACAGTGAATCGAAATTTTCGAGGTCATTTATTAATTAAATAGAGTAGTTGTTCCGACCTTTAAAATTGCGAAATGAAGCATGCCAGGAGAAAAAATAGAGTTAGAAAAATTTGATTGACGAACATGATTATGGTTCTTCAAGCAAATGAAATTGATTAATATTTCAGGTGCAATAAGAACTTGAAATGTTAGACTGGTTGTACAACGACTGCGAAGCAAAAAACAATGTTGCTGTTTTGATGTTCAAGACCGATGCACATTGCAGATGTTGGTATGAAAAAATTTCTGAGATTTATATCAATCCGTACCCAACAAACCCATTTCTGAAGATGTCTTTATCAAAACAGTATGAAAAAAACCGACAGAATAAAACGATCCGACAAATTGAAGTGTTCCCATTCTAGAAGATAACGTTTCCTCTCACGTCTCAAACTTTAACACATACTATTTGGTTTTAACAGCCCAAAGTTAGAGTGTGTTAAACTTTTCTGTACTAAAAACTCTTGGTGACGAATTATTAAGGGGCAGTCTGAACAATTAGGGCTTTACATGATATACAAGAAATCTTGTTGAAGTTTAGCATGACATTCTAGCTATGTTGAAAAAAGGCTTGTTTTATCATCTCTTTTGTCCTACGGACCCATGATTTTACTTCCGATTTTTTTTGTGAGATATCGGGTATGCTCAAAATATGAGCGTATAAACTGGTTAACTTGAGCACCCATTAATAAAAGTATGTAAATACCACTGGTAACTATCCTAACTAACTAAGTTTTAAAAGGAATAAAATAATGTGTGAAATAATTAAAACTGACCGATGTCTTAAAAGAGCAACTAGTGACGCGAAGTCTACTGGACTTCGTAGAGTAGACAATACTGGTACTTGATTAATCTATAGAGGTCAAGGTTAAGAGATACTAAAATACTAAATCACAACATTCCCCACTGCACAAAAATTTATATCTGCCCACTCCCCAATGTAGCCAATATCACACATATACTCCATTCTCCCCTCACTCCGCCAGGGCCAAAGTTGAAACAAAAAAAACAGCGTTTAGCACCAATGGAAATTCACAGAGATAACAATTTACAATGGAGATGATTATATGGTAATATATACAGGCTACCTACAAGATTGAACAGATATCTACAGTGACTGTACAGCTGACAAAATGATATGTACAATTGGGGTTATGTGACATATCAACAAGTTGAACAAGCTAACCTACATAACTAACTAATTAAAATATACAAAATCGCTCAATCTGAGAATTTGTACAGATACGTAACATAAGTAACCAATGGAGAAAAAAATAATGTCCGTACTACAATTATGCTAAACGAGTTTTTCAGTTTTCGGAGTTTTAGTATGTGGCGTTAAATATGTCATGGAAACTGTCGGCCTCCTTCCTTACATCTGTGTCTATGCCTGAAGATATATCGCTCCCGTCATCGTCCTGACTGTCAGGTCTGACTTCTTCCAGTGGAGAGGATAGTACCGCGATCTTTGGCGTCAAGGAGGTAGGGGTTGACGAGGAGCCTTGTGTAGTTTCCGCCACCAGTGTTGGATGGAAAGGTATGTCTTCGAGTGGTGTCAGGTAGTCCAAAGGAGAGTCTGAGGGAAGGTCGTCTGTAGGCTTTTCGAGCCGGAGAAGGTGATCAGGGGTTCGTCGTCGGAATCCGCTATTTCGATGGTTTCTGCTCCTAGGGTCACCTGGTCTATGAAGCGCCTGTCTCCGTAAAATTTAGGGGGGCCTGGATTCCTTCTGGGCCGAGGTTTGTTGCTTTTTGGGGTTTTGGGCGTCTCCAATGTCTTTTCCTGGGAGCTGTCTAACCTAATTGGGTTATCGCCTGTTGAGAGAGTACTCGGCGTCTGAATGTTGGTTTCACTCGCTAATGTTTGTCTTGACTGATCTAAATTACTATCAATATTAAAAATTGGTGTATTATATTCAATTCCGAGTCTGAACCCAAACAATCATCGCTAATTTTGTCCCAATGGTCTAACTGTAGCGAGGAATCTAATTCAGTATACGCGAATTTTGAACCTTTAAAACTAGGGGGTTTCATTCTCCTCCTTTTCATCGCCTTTTCTCCCGTTGGTTTATAGCTCGTCGATGGGCCTCCTTCGTTCGAGTCTGGTCTCTTCAATGGAGAGATTTTCTTTTGTTTCCCTGCTAAATCATGACTATTATTTATCGAGTTCGGAACTGCTGAAAATTTACTGGGAGCCGACAGTTGATTTTTATTAAAAGCTAAATCGGATTTTCTGAGCACATGTCCGTTGTCTAATGTAACCGTATGTTTAGTATCCGACAATGGTTTTCCCCAAAGTGGTTTAAAATAAGGTTCGCCTTCCCTTCGGTTAACTGTCTTCCTAAACCAGTTACCTCCTTGACTGAATGGGTTTGACAGTGGGGCTCGCTGAAGGTTTCTGTCTAGTTTGTCCGATGGGTCGCTCTCATACCCCTTGTGTCTGCCGCTATGTTCTCCAGATAGCCGTCCTCGAATGCGTCATTTGCTCCCCAGTCTTGAGCTCTATCCTTTGACAATATTGACTTCCCTTTATCTAAATTAATCGCGTGTGAGACCAGGGATTTCCAAAACGTGTTAGGCGATCTATTAAAATGTTTTGATAAAGGAGAGCATCCAATGGATGATTGTTTCGTTGAACGAATATTCCATACGATTTTATCAATAGCCGTATGTAAAGATGGTTTTGGATCGTTAAACGACATTGCCAAGAGTTTTGCTTTAACCGTGTAAATGAGTCGTTCTACGACTCCACTGGATCTGTGATCCCCGATAGTACATAGAATTAATTTAATGTTGTTCTTCTCGCAGAAGTTTCTAAAATCGTTTGAGATAAAACATGACTCATGGTCGACTCTAATAGACTTCGAAAATCCATGAAAATG